TGTAGGACTGCCTGATGTCCTCAAATGGCTTCCCCAGGATCGTATCCCTCGCAGCCGCCGCGGGTCTCTTCGGAGCGGGAGCTGGTGCGGGGGGTGCTGTCCTCGCCGGCGGCGGCTGATGGTGCTCGACGGCGGCCGATTGGTGGGTGTTGTGAGAAGGAGGGGGAGGTGGTGTGTAGCCGTTGAATTGGGGCTTGGAAGCAGAGTCTTCTCTGCTGCCGCAACATCCCATTTCTGCGGGTTTTTCCGAGAAAGATCGGAGATTTGGATGTGGGTTGGATTCGGATTGCGATGAAAAAGGAGGAGGAAGAAGAAAGGGGGAGTTTTTTTTCTTCTTTTGGGAGAAGAGTGGATTTGTCTTTGGGAAGGTAGTCTGTGAAGAAGAGGAAATTAGTAGGAAAAGGAGAAAGTTTGATGTTTGTTTGACTCTGAGCTGAAACCAGCTGCAGCTTATTAATTACTTTTCTTTTTCTGTTATTTTGCTCTAATTAATAATTATCTTTAATTGTTTTCTTTTACAAGTTTTTTTTTTTGGTTGTGGAAACCGATACGACAGTAAAGGCACAGTGCAGATTGTCGTTTTATCTGTTTTTTGCGCGTTTGGGCGTCATTTGACCCCTTTGATTTTGGAAATGATGTATTACGAGAATGTGTATTAAAGATTTTGTGTATACTAAGAATGTGTGGTTTTGAAAATTTATTGTTTGGAACCCATACACGAATGCATGGATTATAGTTTAAATAAACTATGGATACTAAAATCTCAACAAAAATGTAAGATTATTAATACATAATTTTTTATGTATTAGGAATACAACATGGATTATGAATACATGCATTTTGTTATTATATCAAGTCAAAAACGTTATATTTTCAGGATACATGTATACTAAAAATAATACAACATCTGGAATCGGAGGTTCCAAACGAGCCCTTAGTGTTTTCCTTCCCCTTCCTATTTTGTTTAACTTTTCTTTTCCATCTCATGGCGAAGAGTGGATGATTATTGATTAGTGAGTTTTAACATGTATGCTCGCACTAATATCATTTGGATCAACGATGGTTCCTCTTCTTTTACAAGATTTGATTAATAAGAAGCTGTTTGGCATCTAGCTATGTCTCTCTCTTTTTTGGTTGGTGGTGGATTGATGGATGTCCCCATTACCAATTCTCATTTTTGCCTCTTGAGCAGGTGGCCGTAATTATAGGGCTAATCTTTGCATCAATTATTGATCACATGAGAATTTAATTTTTGGGTGTGGCTTAGTGATACTGATTTGAAGTTTGGTCTATTGATTTTGGCGTGTCATTCAAGTCGTGCTATTATCATCGTGAAAATGTGTGTTCAGTAAATTTCTTTATAAACGAGACAACTTTATTTTCATTTTTGTAGTAAATATTCTCATCGGGAAGTTTATGGATATGAATATGAGTTAAATAGGTTTCTCAAATTTAAAAAAGAGAACATCCAAAAAAAAAATAGACAATGTGATTTTTGTACTTGTACTTCACAGAATTTGAATCTCATGAAATACCGATACCAGAGCTACAAGGTTGAAATATCCAGTAAACTACATATATATATGATCTTATTCATTCTTTCACATGTTGATAATCAATCATTATTGCGAGACTGATACAATATCGTACTAGTCGATTCTATCAATTAAACCATGTCGACGAGTTTGCCACATATACGCTACGAATACGTTTTTGCCCAAGGCAAGTTCGCCGCCAACTGTAGCGGCACCATCCGCTAAAACTTGTCCCTTTTTAATGCAGTTACCCCGTCGAACCTGAGTTTTTTGATGCATACAAGTATTTTTGTTGGAACGCTGATACATAACTAATGGAATGCTTAGAGTATCTTCATTGCCCCATAAAAGGATCTTATCAATCTCGGTAGAAATTATCTTTCCCTCATGTTCGGCTATAGCGGTGGCCCCTGAATCGAGGGCCACTTGGCGTTCCAATCCAGTTCCAACAATGCACTTCTCGGACCGAGAAAGCGGAACTGCTTGACGTTGCATATTTGAACTCATCAAAGCTCGATTAGCATCATTATGCTCGATAAACGGAATGAGGGAAGCCCCAATGGAAAAATATTGGAAGGGAAAAATACTTCGAAAATGAACCTGTTCCCACGCAACAGTCAGGAATTCTTGACGGTATCGAGCCGGAACAACCTGCTCCTCTTGAACACTTCGATTGATCGCCAAAGAATTTCCTACCGCTACCATAGAGTATTCGTCTCTATTTGGTGATAAAAAAAGCATCCGTTTTTTTTTTGATCTGTCAGAGATTTTATAAAATGGGCTTTCTAAAGACCCCCAAGCATCAATCTTGGCATGAATTGATAAGGATCCAATAAGTCCAACATTGATTCCTTCAGATGTGTCAATTGGGCAAATGCGTCCATAGTGACTAGGATGGATATCTCGTATCCGAAAACTCGCAGTTCGCCCCGTCAATCCCCCCGGACCCAAATAACTCAATTTTCTCCCATGAACTATTTGGGTCAATGGATTAGTTCGATCCAAAACTTGAGATAATGGGTGCAATCCGAAAAAGGATTCAAAGGTGGTTGTTAATGAAGTTGAAGTTACCAAATTTTGAGGGGTCGGTATCAATTTATGCCGAATTGCTCCACATATAGTTCCTCTAACCACATTTTCTAAACGAACCAGAGCCAATCCGAATTGATCTTGTAAGAGATCCGCTACAGAACGAATACGCTTATTTTTTAAATGATTCATATCGTCAACTGTACCCATTCCAAATTTCATTCCAATCAAATGATCCGCAGCTGACAATATATCTCGTGGTAACAAAAATGTATTGTTATGAGACATATCAAGATTCAATCTCCGGTTCAGATTTAGTCGACCAATCCTTCCTAATTCACATCTTTGTTGAAAGAATTTCTTTTGTAATTCTTTACATAAGGATTCTGAAAATATTGGATCGCCGCCTACACAAGTAAATTTTTGATAAAACTCCAAAATGGCGTTTTCTTTGGAACCAATTTTTTTTTTCTCTTTATCGTTCAGGAAAGACAAGAAAATTTCGGGGTAGTACACATTCTCTAGAATTTCTCTTAGATTCAAACCCATAGCTGCTAATAGAACTAGAATAGATATTTTCTGTTTCCTACTCACACGAGCCCATATCCTTGCTTTTCTATCAATCTCTAATTCTACCCTCCCCCCCCAATCTGATATTATCGTACCGGTATAGACCGAAATTCCGTTATGGTCCAATTCTGACTGATAATAGATGCCGGGGCTTTGCAATATTTGATTGATCACAATTCGGTATATTCCATTTACTATAGAAGTTCCCAGGGAATTCATTAGAGGAATGTTTCCAATAAAAATAGTTTGTTCTTGCATATCCCTGCCAGTTTTCCAAATTAATCCTGCGGATACATACAATTCCGAAGAATATGTGCGTGATTCATATATAGCATCTCGTTCTTTTATCAACGGTTCCACTAATTGATATGTTTCCACAAATAATTGAAATTCAATCTCTTGATCTGTATCTTCAATTTTTGGAAACTTAGAAAGCTCTTCTGTTAAACCCTGATCAATAAACCTACAAAATCCTTCAAATTGTATCTGATTAAATCCAGGTATTGTAGACAGTCCCCCATTTGCATCCCTAAGCATTTTTGATTTCCCAGTTATTGAAAAAATCCCATAATTGGATCGTTTTTCATCCAATTCTATAGATTGAGCTAGCAATGATGGGATTTCTATTCTGTTTACAGAATAACATAAAATTTTATCGAACTCCATATATGGATATGGAATGTATGAGCAGAGGAATAAAGAGAATTTTCTACTCAAATTGGAATTTGCAACCGATACAACTTAACTTAGACTTATGGGGTTTTGGGTAGAATCGCAAAACAAACAAAAAGTGATTCTATTTCTATTAGTCTTTAGTCTTCTGATATTACTATTATGATATTCTATATTCGAATAGTATTACATACTAATCAAATAAATGGATTCGGAATTGGATCTGTTCGATGAGATAAAGACCCGATAATCAGAAACAATAAATAGAAATTGGATTCTTATTTTTTTAGGAATGAGCTTTTTTGTGGATTTCATTGTTATTCTTCAGTGCAAAAAAAAGATTCGCATAAAAGAGATAGTTTTTTTAATAGAGTTCGGATAATACGATTAAAGCGCATAATAGAAGGCTTATTAAACATGGGCATATATAACTCAACTCTATCTATATGTCTCTCTTTTTATTGCTATTGCAGCTCTATTCTCGTTAAGATATCCGATTCGATATCTATGTAAGAATTTTTTGTTCTGGGGTTTAGTTTACATATACTCATAATTGTTGTTATAATTAAAATTGAGAAAGATTTTTTTATTGAAACGAATCAATACTGATTAGTACTTTCATAGGGTTCCATATCAATTATTACCCTTTCTCATGTTATGCATTGAACCCTCTATACACATGATCAAATATGCTAATCCAAATTCAACAAGAACAAAACATTAAAAACAAAATTACAATTTGCTTATGATTAATGGTCTCATCATCATCACGGGAGCGGTTATGGTGCTAATTGTACAATAGTTAGCACCGTCCTAACCAAGGGAAAAACTACTACTAGTTTGAATTAGTACTGATTTAGCTTAGATGTTGTATTGATTTTATAATAATTCGTAGTGATTTCATTATTTTTAGTAGCGTTTTTTTCTAGTTATCACGGTGCTAACCCCTATAAGGGTTAGTACCTAATCCCATCCCATCATCACATGTAAACAAAACATAAACAAAAATTCAGGACAGGTGTCCCGATTGAAGAGGCCGGCGTTTCGATTAGCTAATGATTAATCAATGTACCATCAAACCGTCATATAATTAACAAAAATTTCCAGGACAGGTGTGCCGATTGGAGATTCCGGTGAGCTAGGAACATGACACAAAGGTAGATATATATGTATTACTATAATAAATACGTACGACTCGAAAGCTTGAAATCCATTGGTCCATCTGTATACTAGAAATCACAAAACATCAAAAATGAGTTATGGTATAAAAAAATTGTATACAAATGTTTGGTAAGAATCAAATTAATGAAACGAGACAAGAGATAGAAGGAAGACTGCTACTACTACTGGTTACTTGGTCGTATTATACGTTATCCTAGATGACGCAATTCAGTAGCTTAGAGACCAAATTTGCCAACTTACTAGTGGCTGGCTTGTTCAGCTTTCATGGAGATAGCAACAAAATTTGTCGTTGACAAACGACAAACACTCCTTTCACTAATTAAGCAAAGGTTATCCCTCCGGATATATCGTTGAGATATTAGATATCAAGATTGATAGTATATGGTTTCGTGTTTAACTTTCGAAGTTTATCATTCGAAGAGATTATTTGGCAGTTACAAGTAAAATTGTCAATCAAGGTTGACAATCCGTGAGAGTTCGCAAGATTTTTATGAGAATTGAGCTAGTTTTGGTCGATGTATTTGTCGTGTTTCACGATTTTATATATTAAAAAGGTGATTGGGAGGTGATAGTAGAATCTGACAAAGGAAATTTTAAAATATATAGCATCATAGCTTTGATGCAACCCTAGGCGGAAGCAATGAGGGACACTTTGGTCATTTGTGCCTTCTTTAACAATTAACTAACGAAAATATTGGATGGAAAGATAATATGTTTGTTGCATTAATTGTGATAATAAAAGTGTATGTTTATATAAAAATATAGTAAAGGGTATATATTTGTTAACTTGTAGTAGTTGTAGTAGTAAAGTAGTACAAAATACTATTAACTCTTGCTGAAATTATGTATACATAACTAGAGTTTATAAACTCTAAAGATTACATAATAACCCTAATATATACTAATAATTTTACACAACATAATACTACTCATACTCTAATCGAATAGGTGGATTGTTGCTAGCCTTCGAGCAATACAAGAACAAGCTGACGGCACAGGTCGGAGGAAGAGAACAGGCTGAGCGACTAGTCAATTAGGGAGTGTTCCTGCTCTCCACCATCGCCGGCCTCCGGCGATTTCACCAACAACTATTACCCGCCACGTACCTTTCTCGGCCTGCGCCAGCCAGTACACCATCGACGAGTTCGTCGATCTCCTCATCTCCGAGCTATCCAAAATCCTGCTGAGGCTGAACGAGCTTGGGGCTCGCCGTTTGCTGGTTTTTGGGTCCGGCCAGTTCGGGTGCTGGCCGGCTCAGTTGGCAATCAGGGCGTCGACGGGGAGTGCGACTCTGAGCTAGTGAACGCAGCGTCTCGGTTCAACTCCGAGCTGAACCGGATGGTTCAGCGGCTGAACGATCAACACGGTTACGTTTTCGTCGCGGCTGCCAACTCCGTTGCTTTTTCCACCGAGATCAGTAACAATCCTGGGGCTTACGGTAACTTCATTATGTTTTATGCATATAGTAGTACTGTACTGCATCAAAATTAAAATTAATGTATGTAATGATGACCATGTTGTTCCTAGGGTTTACCGAAACGAGGGTGGCTTGTTGCGGACAGAGTCCTTATAACGGGCTAGGGCAATGCACACCAGCGTCGAATCTGTGCCCGAATCGGGATGAGTATCTCTATTGGGATTCCACCAATCCCACCGATAGGGCTCAGAGGTTTTTTGTCGAAGGAATCTTGAGTGGTTCTGCAACCGTTGTCTTCCCAATGAACCTCAATTCCATGTTGGCATTTTAAGAAATGAATCCAAAATCAAGTTTATCATCATCACTCAACCCACTACCAAATCACACCATTAAAATCTGAAAAGAGTATTATTTAACTCAGTTACTAATTGCAAATCCGGATAGAGTTACCTCTTGTAGCCAAGTGCCATCCATGTGTGGGAAATTGTGTTCAAAAGTGCCCTTAGTGCTAGCAATAGCAAGAAGCAGGCCATCCGGTGATGCTTTTTTGTTTATCTCCAGGGTAACAGTGAGTTTCCCTCTTCCCACCACCAAATCGAAGCAGTAAATCAATCCACAATCTACCGAATTGAAATACTGTGGATCTTCTTCAGCTCTGGCTGGCATCCGGGGCATGTAGGAAAAAAAGAGAGTTTTGTGCAGGAACTCCGAGGCTCTAACAAGACTGGAAGGAATGGATGCAATTTCCAGACAAGAACCATGGATTAAAGAGCACAACGATGATTGGAGAATAATCTAACAATACGTAAAATCATTAATCAAATCCAATAAGGTAAAATCGCATCAAAGAAGTGTTAGTGTACATTGGGTCGTGTAATTGGGTCACGGAGACTTGAGGGAATGTTGGCCCAAGCCCATGCAACCCTATTCATGCAGACGTAGGGAAGCTAGGGTTACAAACCAAAACTATATATATTCTCTTGTACTCTACCGAGAACCCTAAGCAAGCATAGTACGATTTTCGTTTTGGAGAGTTAACCTCTCACATGGATTAGTCCTGGCATTCCAGGGATACCACGTTAAATCTGTGTGTTCATCGTCTTTAGTTTCGGTTTATTTAGCTTTGTTAACATGGTATCAGAGCTTTCGGCATCCGATTCCGAGAGAATGTCTATTCGGCTCAACCCGAAGAACTACATGCTGTGGGAATTTCAATTTCGTGTTCATGTTGAAGGGAAGGGACTCGCTGGGGTCCTGGATGGCACTGATCCGAAGCCAGACTCTACGGCCACTGCCGAGCAGATTGCGCGCTGGAATATGAATGATGCTCGGGTAAGATCGTGGATCCTGGATTCGGTTGATCCGAATATTTGCTTGAGCCTTCGTATGCACCAGACTGCCCACGAGATGTGGAGGCAATTGGCGGCCACTTACTCCACTGCTAGTGCCGCGCGCCAATTTGAAGTGCAGGTAGCCCTCGATAAATTGGAACAAGGTGATCGGGACGTCACGGCGTACCTGACAGCTGCTCAAGAGCTCTGGACAGAAGAGGACTTACTCACTGCGTCACTACGTCCGGCCGTGACTTCAGCTATCTGGATCGCCGAGCGGAAACATGCCCGCCTTCTTCACTTCCTGATGCGACTAAGGCCGGAGTTTGAGGCAATAAGATCAGCCATCATCCATCGTGGGGAGCTATCCATGGATGGAGTATTTGGAGACTTAATAAGAGAAGAAACTCGCCTGAGAACCCAAGCTAAGTTGGACCTCCGTCCCGGCGACAGTGAATCGGCGCTTGTGGCTGTTGTGGGAGAAGATGCGGCGTTTGCCGTTGGCCGACCGCAATTCCAACGACGGATTCCTATAGCTGAGTTACACTGCCATCATTGCAAAGAGAAGGGGCATCTTCAAAAATATTGCCGCAAACGCAATCTGTGCGTGTACTGTAAGAAGGGCGGCCATATAATCCTCGACTGTCGTTTATTTGTAAAGCATCACGGGAAGCATGCTGAGATTTCTTCATCGGACACCCACCAAGAGCAGCCTCGCTCCGACAACCGTCGTTCTGATCGATCAACGGCCTACTCAACACAGCTGGCTGACGGGAACAATGCTGCGGGAATCTCAGCAGCCAAGATCGAGGAGCTAGTCAATGCTGCCCTACAAAAATCGCTGCCCACCGCCATCAATTCTGCCTTCGCGGCAATGCAGGTCACTGGTAAGAAATCATCGCCTTGGCTATTGGACTCAGCTTGCTTTAATCATATGACACAAGATTCAGTTGCACTTACGAGCCTCAAACCTGTGAGTCATATGAATTTAAGAGTTGCTAATGGTGATCATTTGAAAGTTCAAGGCATGGGATGTGTAAACCAACCTAAGATTCAGTTACCTAATACGTTACATGTCCCTAAACTAGTGCCTAATCTCGTTTCAGTCAGACAACTTACTGATCATGGTTGTTCGGTTACGTTCGCACCGTCTGGCTGTGTTGTGCAGGATCTGAAGACGGGGAGGCAAATCGGCAGAGGGAGTAAGCGGGGCCGTTTGTTTCAGTTAGAAGAACTCATCAGTCCATCATCATCATCATCATCCTCTCCTGTCTCCGAAACCAGTAGGCTTGTCAGTAGTCCGATGGTGTCTAGTTTTTCAAGTGTTCCTAGTGAGTCTAATAACGTTTGGGATTTATGGCATTCCCGTTTGGGGCACCCCAACTCTAGTCGGTTGTTGCAAATGTTTCGTCAATCTTTGTTAGGCAAGCACAGTGTTTCCTCGTCATCTAAACATAATTGCACCAGTTGCGTTGAGGCCAAAACTATCAGTATCTCGTTTCCTTCTAGTTCAACGGTGATTTCTGAACCATTTCATATTGTGCACTCTGACCTCTGGGGTCCATCGTCTGTTCTTTCTCGACATGGATTTCGATACTTTGCACTTTTTATTGATCATGCCACTAGATTCACATGGGTTTATTTTCTGCGCCTAAAATCTGATCTTAAGGCTGTAGCAGAGGAGTTTTTGAAAATGGTGCAAACTCAGTTTAATAAACCCGTTAAAATTCTTAGGTCTGATCCTAGAGGAGAGTTCAGTTCGAATCCGTTGCTGGCTTTGTATAGATCTCTTGGAACTTTGTGTCAAAAATCTTGCCCGGGTGTGTCTCAACAGAATGGATTAGTTGAGCGTAAGAACAGACATGTGCTTGACCTCACTCGTGCCCTCCTCATTGAGTCAAAGGTTCCTTCTCGTTTCTGGCCTGAAGCTGTAGCTACAGCTGTTCGTCTAATAAATTATCAACTCACTCTTGTCCTTCAAAATGTTAGCACATTTTTCGCTTTGCATTCCCGTCACCCTGACTATTCTCGTCTCCGGGTCTTTGGGTGTTTGTGTTTTATACTCATGCCACGGAAGGAACGCACTAAGTTGACCCAGAAGACAGCTAGATGTGCATTCCTCGGGTACAGCGATGTACACAAAGGGTACATTTGTACGATCCAAGTCTCCAACGTGTGCGCATTGCGGCCACTGTTGTTTTTTTTGAGAATTCTAAATTTTTCTCTTCTGTTGAGTCCGACCCTTTGTTGTTCCATCCTACGTCACAGCTGCCTTGTTTTGATGATGATGATACTGGAATTGATGATGACTAGTTGCCTCCAGAAGACCCGCCCTCTCCTCTGCCCACCATGCCTCCCACACCGGACACGACCACCCCGGCATCGTCTCCGAGCCAGAATTTGGACTCGCCTGGCCCTTCATCGGCTGATTCCGCCCCTACCACGTCACCGGCATCAGGTTCCCATGCAGCAACGTCCCAGTCCTCCTCCACATCGTCGGAGTCCTCTGTTGCGGATGGGGGCTCTCCTCCGCCATCACCGCCTGTTGCTGACTTGAGACGCTCTCTTCGTGTCACTCGAGGTCAGCCACCCCCCGATTTAATGACTACTTCGCTTACGGAGTTGATGCATTTGTAGTTCCTACTCGATACAAGCAGGCCCAGGGAGATCCATTGTGGGAGGCGGCTATGCAAACTGAAATAGATGCGGTTCATGCAAATAAGACGTGGACGGTGGTGGATCGGCCGCCTCCGGAGGTTCCTGTTATCGGTTCTCGGTGGCTATATGCTTTGAAGATGACCCCTGAAGGGAAGATTGAACGACACCGGGCCCGGATTGTCGCGCAAGGATACACACATGAACAAGGGATAGACTTTGACGAGAAGTTTGCCCCGGTGGCTAAAATGGCTACGGTACGTACACTCCTAGCTGTGGCGTCTGTACGTCATTGGCCGTTGTATCAGCTTGATGTCAAGAATGCGTTCTTGCATGGGGACTTAAAGGAGGTGGTATATCTGGAGAAGCCTCCCGGATACAACGTTGGGTTGCCAGGCCAGGTTTGTCTCCTTCATCGATCGTTGTATGGACTCAAACAGGCTCCGCAAGCTTGGTTTGAGAAATTTCAGACCACGATACAGAAACTGGGCATGCGACAAAGCTTGAGTGATCCATCTCTATTCACTCAGACCACTGGGGCAGGTATGGTTGTTCTCCTACTGTATGTTGACGACATGGTGATCACAGGTGACGATCCTAGGGGGATTGCTGCCCTAAAACGTGGACTTCACGAGGCATTTCGGTTGAAAGATTTAGGCGCCCTGTCATATTTCCTAGGGCTTGAGATCACTCGCCAAGACCAGGGCATTTTCATCGGCCAAAGGAAGTATATTGGAGATTTATTACATGATCATAACTTTGACGACTGTCATCCTGTCAGTACCCCGATGGAACTGAACTTGAAGTTACGACGTGATTCAGGCGATCCATTACTCGATGGGGATCGCTCCCGTTATCGTAGCTTGGTGGGGAGTCTCATTTACTTAGCCGCCACCAGACCTGACATTTCATATGCTGTGCAGATGGTTAGCCAGTTCATGGCGGCACCTCATCGTGATCATTTGACGGCGGCCCATCGGATACTGCGGTACCTTAAAGGTACTCAAGATGTAGGTATGTTCTTTCCATCGATGGGTTCTCTCGATCTCCGTGCGTTTTCCGATTCAGATTTTGCAGGCTGTATTGATACGAGGCGTTCTACTACGGGCTGGTGTGTTCAATTTTCGGGTTCTTTCATTTCCTGGAGATGCAAGAAACAAGATAAAGTGTCCAAATCGTCGACGGAGGCTGAGTACAGAGCTCTCTCTGATGTTTGTTCGGAGCTCGTGTGGCTGAATCGCTTACTGGGTGATCTCGGGGTACCGTGTACTCCGCCTATAGTTGTCTTTGTGGACAACACGAGTGCTATTCAGATTGCCATTAACCCGGTACTCCATGATCGTACGAAACACATTGAGCTTCATGTACACTATGTTCGGGATTTGGTGCGTGAGGGTACAGTTCGGCTTCATTATCTCAAGACGGAGGAACAAATTGCTGATATTTTCACTAAACCGTTTACCAGTAGTCGTCATTGGTACCTCTCAAGCAAATTGATGCTTCGTTCCCGGCATCAATTTGGGGGAGGCTGTTAGTGTACATTGGGTCGTGTAATTGGGTCACGGAGACTTGAGGGAATGTTGGCCCAAGCCCATGCAACCCTATTCATGCAGACGTAGGGAAGCTAGGGTTACAAACCAAAACTATATATATTCTCTTGTACTCTACCGAGAACCCTAAGCAAGCATAGTACGATTTTCGTTTTGGAGAGTTAACCTCTCCCGTGGATTAGTCCTGGCATTCCATGGATACCACGTTAAATCTGTGTGTTCATCGTCTTTAGTTTCGGTTTATTTAGCTTTGTTAACAAGAAGTTCCCTCCCCTGCAGATGATTCAATATGCGAGTGAACGCCTCCAGAAGGAACGCTCTTCACCGCCGACGTAACATGGTGTTGAACGACTTCGTCTTCATCGTTGCATCGCTTTCTTTCGGAAGGGATGAGATTGGATGAAGGAAGATTGTGGGAGCCGAAGGGGAGGGTGGGCATGGATCTTGTTGGGGTTCCTTTCCAGAAGAGAAGAGATCGGGACAGAGATGGAGACAAAGTGGGATGAAAAGAGGGGTTGTAGATCTAGTTAAGGGTGTTTGGTAGCGGAGGAGGGAAGCGGCCAAGAGTGGTTACGTTTGGTTCCTCTTTCATAATTCATCTCATCTCAATATGTTTTGTAATGGTAAAGGTGCTGGATCTTTGGAGACCTTCCTGCTATCCCCTATCAAAAAATCGTTTGGGCTCCATTTTCATGTTCGATTCAAAGAGGCTTCTACATCCAATAAGGACCACTTCCACCAAGCCAGATTTCATCCCCCAACCACACCTCTTCGCACTTCTCTTCGCTGCTGAAGGGAGAAAGGGAAGGTGTTCATTTTTTTTTGGATTTAGGGATTTAATCTTGGTGGGTAGTTGGGTTGGTGGGTCGGGTCTGGTTTGGTTATAGGGTTGGGTAGGTTTAGATGAGCTGGCGGGTTTCAATGACGTGCGGGTTGGGTCAGACTATTTTTGGGTTAAATAATGCTGATTAGACGATACCGTCTGCCACGTCATCACTTAACGGACTCCTTTAACGGAGATGGACGACAGCTAACAGAGAGTGACCAAACGTTAACGGTTTTTGAAAAATGAAGTACCACCAATGGATTTAAATATTTCAAGTGACCAAACTTGAACGTTTTTTGTAATCTCAGTGACCAACCATGCAATTAATTAACTCTATTAAAATTTGATAGAAAGTAAAAAATGACATATACCAATTCGTTCTAATAATTCGAGTTATTGGGATAGGTTCAATTATAAATCTTATATCACATACTAATACGCCTTCCTCAAACGAAAGCCAGTCCATAAGGGCTTGAAGTATGCACATGTCCAAATACCATGTACTTAACAAATGAGGCTCGTGATGACTCGAAAACAAGACCTCTCAGAAGGCTCTGATACCATGTCAAGATTCAGTTGGTTTCAATAACTCGAGTTGTTGGGAAAAGTTCATGTATGAAGATTAACCAGTTCCTTACAAAAGAGAGACCTACTAAACAAAATTCCGTTTTAAGTTTTCAAAAAGAAGAAGTCATTCATTTCATAGCAATTGAGCTTTTTTGCCAACAATCGAATTCCAAGCCGCGATTGAGTGTAGTTTGGTTTCGGGTCGGTTTATGTATGGTTCGGTTCGGATCGATACGGATGTACCGTGAACTGCTTGCCAGCTCCTACCCTTGATTATGCACACTTGCATAACATGTTATGAGCCTTTGATATTAATTGGGAGTAAAAATCAAAGAGGTGAAATTAAACGACTTAAAATTTTTTTTTGCTAAGAGGGAATGAGTTCATCGTGATCTATTGGATCTACAAAATGGTAAGTGTAGATCGAGTTACACATCGTCACTTACCCGTAGGTTACTGATAGGAATCACTCCCTCAAAACAGTGACTAAATAAAATGAATGCAAACAAGAGTGTGATCTAATAATACTATCACGGATCTCGAACATGAGCTCTCAAGTTCAATTCATTTACTAGCCTCTAGTAACTATATGAAATGGAATGAAGAGAAGTTTATGTTGTGAATGCAAGTGGAAGTGAGAAAATGAAAACGAGAAAAGAAAGAAACAGAGAGCCGTGGGGAGTGAGTAGAAAGATGAATACTGAGAGTGACTGGTCATCTTGACGTGGGGAGTGAGTAGAAAAAGAACCATTATTTGGTCTCTCCCGTGCATTATATATAAGAGCCTCTCAAGGCTTCCCTAGAAGTAGAAACCCCATCGTGCGCATAATCACATAACTACATTCTCTCTCTCTCTTTCTGTCCGTCATGGCGAAGATGGTAGGTCTGGTCGTGGGCTTAGCCATGTTGGGCTGTAGTTTGGTGGACCGGGTCGGGGCGCCCGACCCGGGTTATGTCCCTCCTCTTTTGTTAGTGTTCGGTAGTTCCCTTGGGGACAGCGGAAACAACAATTACTTGGACACGACGGTGAAGGCAGACTCGCCGCCTTACGGTATCGACTCTCCCACCGGCCAGCCCACCGGTCGTTTCACTAATAACCGCAACCTGCCCGATTTCCTCAGTACGTAATCTTGAATTCTTGATTATATATTCATTGTGTTTTATGTTATGTACTTTTCGGATATTCCAAACCTAAATATGCATGGCGATATTTGGGTCCTGTCGTCCTGACATGCATGCATGTACGTACACAGGTGTAGCACTGAAGCTGCCGCAGTCTCCGTTGCCGTACTTGAGCCCGCAGCTCAACGGGGAGAGGTTGCTTTACGGTGCCAACTTCGCTTCCGGCGGAGCCGGGATCCTGAATGACACCGGAGTCCAGCAAGTAAGCTAGCTAAGCCCTAATTGTGTTAGTTAATTACTTGTTAATACCAGAAGACCGATCTTTATAAGTAGGATTCGAATTCCTGTATCTCCTTACTGAAATAGGAATGACAATGAGTCGATTTATTAGATAATTGAAGCAATTGTGATGATCCATTAGATTGGATTAAATTGGACTCATCATATGCACTTTTGATAATTCTGTGTGTTTAGTTGTTTCCATCTATTCGGGTACATTTGGATCTATATATAATTATACACACGAAAAAAAGACTATATCGACCATTTCTATCCACCTTCTACCAATTCACGCGTCTTGAATATCGGTGTTTTTTCACATTTATGTTTGCTTTAGAAGAAAGAAAAAAAAAGTAAAAATTACATCAGAGTTGAGTGTCTACATTATACAATGGGTTGTACATAACAGGTCTAATTCAGACCCAAACTAAAAAATTGGGTACAGATATATGCTCCAAAAGTGAGCGTTACGTAAATTTGATTTGACCCATAATAAATTGTGTGAATAATACCCATATTATGAAGTTTTTTTTTTTGTCATATCAAAAACTCTTGTACCATGTTAAATTTTTGTTACGTAGGGAAACACAATAAGAATCGCTGAGCAGTTACTAGCCTTCGGACAATACAAGAACAAGCTGGCGGCGGTGGTCGGAGGAAGAGAACAGGCCGAGCGGCTCGTCAACCAGGGAGTGTTTCTCTTGGCCGTCGGCTCCGCCGATTTCACCAACAACTACTACTCGCGCCCTTTCTCGGCCCGCGCCAGCCAGAACACCGTCATCGAGTTCGTCGATCTCCTCATCTCCGAGCTATCTAACTACCTGCTGAGGCTGCACGAGCTGGGGGCTCGCCGGACGCTGGTCACCGGAGCGAGCCAGTTCGGGTGCTTGCCGGCGCAGTTGGCAATCAGGGGCAGCGCCGGCGGGGAGTGCGATCCGGAGCTCGTGAACGCGGCGTCTCTCTTTAACTCCCAGCTGAACCGGTTGGTTCAGCAACTCAACGGTCAGCTCGGTTTCGTTTTCGTCGCTGCGGCCAATTCCGTCACATTGTACACCGCGACCCGCAGCAATCCCGAAGCTTACGGTAACTTTATATTTATGCATACAATAGTTGCTTTTAGGATGAAAATTTCCAACTTACTTTGTTTTACCCGACCCGTTTGATATGTTATGTGACGGGTTCGACCTTTCCTCTAATTAACCCGATATATCTTGACCCGCCTCATTCTCGACTTATTCACTTGTCTAAATTGCATGTAATATTATTTAAATTACAGATCATTACATCATATATGAGCTATAATAAAGTTATAAAATTAGTGAAAACCTCAAATTTTCCAATAATTTAACTATATATTTATCGTAACATGTTTTGCTTTCTTGCTATCATAATGAAAATAACAAATATTTCTAATGTTTTTCATATAAATTGCATACTCATTGAGTCGACCAGCCCCGACCCTTGACCCATGCTAAATTACCCAACCTGAACCCACCTTGTCACTGGCCACATTGTCATTCCTAGTTGCTTTACAACATTTAACACTACAAGAAACAACACTTTTTGTAACGGGAGTTTTTCTTCGAAACAACGATTGTCTTTTGCCGTGTAATAACCGAGTCACGGCCTATGTTTTCGCCACGAAAAATGGTGCATCGTCACAGATGCTATCAAGCGTCGCAAGAAAGACAAAGATGCTTTTGCGACGCAAAAGTTTTTCGTTGTAAGAAATTGTATTTGTTGTAGTGTGAATTGAGATTCGTTTTATATGATGACGATGATGTTGTCCAGGGTTTACGGAGACGAGGGTGGCTTGTTGCGGCCAGGGTCCTTATAACGGACTAGGGCAATGCACGCCGGCATCGAATCTATGTCCGAACAGGGATGAGTACGTCTTTTGGGATCCGACCAATCCAACCGACAGGGCTGTGGGGCTCTTTGCCGAAGCCATCTTGAATGGTCCCGCAGACGTTGTCTTCCCGATGAACCTCAATTCCATGCTGGCCATGGGAACACGAGACATAAATGTTTGATAATCTACCTTCATGCATTTTTTTTTTTTTTTTACAAATTGGGGCACTTTCATTCCAAATCGAAACAGTGGAAGTATAGTTGATTACAATAAAGGAGACAACAAATCGGCAACAATGATCCAATGCAAGGTTTATTTTTACGTACTTTATGATTGAGAGGGAATAAAGTCTGTAATATATGTGGGCTTCTGAGCTGACTTTTCTTGGGATTCATGATCAAGAAAGGGTCAGGTTCCATGTAATTTGTAATGTTGGTTGCTTTGACAACTTGATGTACTCGATCCCGTTATATATAAAAAATTATATTTCAGAATATTAAACAAATACAAACTTATATTAGCTTAATCTTTTGTTCTAGATGTATTAATTGTTTGGATCATTGACTTCATGCTTAAGGTTCAGAGGTTATGCATCGATCCACAACTAAATCACGGCTTTGGATTCAATTTTAAAGAATGAAATTGGCAATGACAAAGACATGCAAATCTGGAATGAGTCTGGTAAAAATCTACGTTCATAAAATTTGAACCAACTCTGGATTCAATTTAAAGAATGAGCTTAGCAATGGCGAAGGTTGAAAATATGAATATGAAATTGAGTGGGTAAAAATCTATCTTATAAACCGGTTTGACACAAATCTCTCTTGCTCCGGTAGTGAAACGCAAAAACTTGATCATCAATGATCATATATGATTGATTATTGACATAAAAAGAGAGTTTTTAATGTCAATTCAGGTCTCAATCTAATTTAAATCCAGAAACAAGTACCATCGATCTAGTACTGTAGTACGCTCGAATGGTTCTAACAAAACAAGATCAACAACAAAAATTTCGCTCTCATAACGATACGTACCCTTCAATATTTAAATCAGATGTCACTATACGTCAGTCCTTCAACACGGGATCTGGAGAGTTTGGTACATAATATGTTACAATCTATGCCCTCTCTCCCCGGAAGCTAGAGTTGTATCAATCAGACGACTATATAAAATGAATGTGAAGTGAGAGAAGTTTTTGCTGTGTGTGCAAGTCAGGGGCGGATACATGAGGGTTTAGGGGTGTCCCGGGACACCCTCTAAAATTTGAGAATACGATTATTCAATCCCAGGTAGTTTTGTATGGGTAAATAAATTATAATTAGCGATTCGGACATCCCTACAACAATAATCCTATCCTCAGTAGTAGTTTGCGTATACTTTAAAAAAATAAGCGATAGTCTGTATTATTCAAACTTAGGATATACTATATTTTTTAAACATTATCCTCCATTAAATTGCACCCATTTGTTGTTCTATTTTAAACACTACATAATAGTAAAAAGTTATTCCTTATCCCCGACTATGTCCAAAACCTAACAATTAACTACCCTTAATTTGAATTGATTTTATGATTACACAACAAGTGTTGAAAGAGTCTTTTCAAATTTGAGTTACATAAAAAACAAAGTTAGAAATCCATATGCGATCAATTCGTGAACTATTGTCTAGTAGCATATACAGATTTGTTGAGCAATTTACCAAACCTATTTTTTATTCTTTTTCAGAATATAAAAATACGTCGTGGCCGTATGTTAAAATTTGTACTAGTCCGATATTTTTTTTATTTATGAATTATTTTTTTATTTTAATTTTTTTTGAAGAGGACACCCCGTTAAAATTTTCTAGATCCGCCACTCGTGCAAGTGGAAGTGAGAAAATTAAGTGACGAGAAAAAGAAACAACAGAGAGACGTGGGGGAGTGAGTTGAAAAAGAGTATTGAGATTTGAGAGTGAGTGATGATAATTTGCTCGATCTCCCGTGCATTATATAAGAGCCTCTCATGGCTTTTCCCTAGAAAATTTTTTGACGAAATTCCCTAGAAATTAACCCATCGACTCCATTATCACATAACTACAATGGCGAAGATGGTGGGCCTGGTCGTGGGCTTAGCCATGTTGGGCTACTGTAGTTTGGTAGCCGGCCGGGTCGTCGGGGCGTCCGACCCGGATTTTGTCCCGCTATATGTGTTCGGCGGTTCCCGTGGGGACAGCGGAAACAACAATTACTTGGACACGACGGTGAAGGCCGACTCGCCGCCTTACGGGATCGATTCTCCGACCGGCCACCCCACCGGCCGTTTCTCTAATTACCGCAACCTACCCGATTTCATCAGTACGTATTTTTTGTATTAATTCTTCACTCACGCATTTTGTATACTTAAGGTGATATATGACCGTTTCGATAAATTATATAAAATCATTGTTTATGTACTTGGGAATTCCAAACCAAATATGGTGATATAATATTTGGGACCGGACATGCATGTACTATAATAAAATATTGGGCGACGTGAGAACTTGAACACATGACCTCACGGACAAACCAGCTCTGATACCATGTCATGAACCAGTTGCTCTCAATAACTCGAGTTGTTGAGAAAAGGTTATGTTGGATCTTATACAGGCTCATGTATGTTACTTAGTCACTTCCTTACATGTACGTATTCAGGCGTAGCACTGAAACTGCCACAGCCTCCATTGTCGTACTTGAGTCCACAGCTCACCGGGGAAAGGCTGCTTTACGGTTGCAATTTCGCTTCCGGCGGAGCGGGGATCTTGAATGACACCGGAATCCGGCAAGTAAGCTAGCCCTAATTTGCGTTAGTTAGGTGTTACCGAACAAACAAACCATCATTTGTCTTAAACCATTGTTTTAAATTGGGGTCGTTAATTATAAGAATTCGAACAATACCTGTTAAGTTGAGACAGGGATGACAATGGGTCGACATGTTTAACAATTGGACTCAATTATCATGATCCATATAAATATTGCGTTGGACCTCAAGAACACTCATATGCACTCCTAATAATTGTGGGGGTCTGTCTGGATCTATATAGTTACTCATACGAAAGAAGCAATATATCGACAATCTCGCACTATCCACTTTCAACCAATTCACAGGTCTTCAATGCTGGTGTTTACACATTTATACTTGTTTTAGAAAAAAAAATTAAATCACATATTAGAGTTGGGTACGGCTCTAATTTAGACTCAAATTAACTAACCCCTAAAAAATCAGATTCAGACAATACCTAAATTATGGGGGTCTTGTTCGTCATCCCTAGATCGAAAAGTTTTAATACCATGTTAATTAACCAACCGTTTCACTAATTTGAGTTGTTGTGAATGAGTTTTGATATATCCTCCTTTTCTTTTTTTCCTTTCTACATAGGGCAACATAATAAGGATCCCCAAGCAGTTGCTAGCCTTCCAGCAATACAAGAAGAAGCTGGCGGCGGTGGTGGTCGGAGGAACAAAACAGGCTGAGCGACTAGTCATCAACAAGGGATTGTTCCTCTTCGCCGTCGGCTCCGCCGATTTCACCGACAACTACTACTCGCCACCTTTCTCGGCCCGCGCCAGCCAGCACACTGTCCCCGAGTTCGTCGATCTCCTCGTCTCCGAGCTATCCAAATACCTGCTGAGGCTGTACGATCTGGGGGCTCGCCGGATGCTGGTGATTGGGTCGAGCCCGTTTGCGTGCTGGCCGGCGCAGTTGGCAACCAGGGGCGGCGCCGGCGCGGATGAGTGCGATCCGGAGCTCCAGAACGCGGCGTCTCTCTTCAACTCCCAGTTGAACCGGATGGCTCAGCAGCTGAACGATCGGTTTGGTTACGTTTTCGCCGTTGTTGCCAATTCCGCTGCGCTGTCCATCGACATCCGCAACAATCCCGGGGCTTACGGTAATAATGCGCATTACGGATAAGGCTTCCATAATTCGGTTTATACTTTACGTAACACAAGATTAATTTATAAGGCTTCCGTGACGACTCTTCATAGCTGCGTAAGATATGCATTCATTGTGTTACAGATAGGAGTGTCAGTTCGGGTCGGGTTAGGTTACCCAAACCAAAACCCGAAACCGAAAATCAATAAAACCGAACCCGAACCCGATAAGGACTTGCGAGTTCCGGTTACCCGAAACCCGAAAATTCCTTATCGGGTTCGGTTAAAGCAAAATCGAAACCCGAAAACCCGACGCCTAAAAATACGGGCTGAGTTCTATTCATTGGAGGTTTTTAGCCGGAACCCGAAAAACCGATAAGCAAAAACGAACCCGAAACCGAAAAACCAGAAACCCAAAACGAACCCGAAAAAACCGAAAATGTATATAATCGGTTCGGTTTCGGGTAAACCCAAAAAACCGAACCCGAATTGACACCCCTAGTTACAGAATGATAGAAGCGTTACGTATGTCTTACGTAATGATATAACAATTTACGTAACGAGAGGTTGACATTCATTACGTAAAAAGGGATGTCCAATCCATTAGGTGACACTTCCGTAATAACCTTTTACACGTAAGATAATAAGATGAGCATCGAATTTTCGAATTGAGATTTATTTTATATGATAGACCATGTTATCCAGGGTTTATCGAGACGAAAAAGGCTTGTTGTGGACAGGGTCCTTATAACAGGCTAGGGCAATGCACACCAGCATCGAATCTGTGTTCAAACCGAGATGAATTTCTGTTTTGGGATTCCATCCACACCACAGACAGGGATACGGGTTTTTTTGCCGAAAGCATCTTGAGTGGACCTGCACACGTTGTCTTCCCAATGAACCTCAATTCCATGCTGGCCCTCAAACAGGATATCTAGATTTACAATTTATGTATTTTTATACGGCTAAATTACACGTTTGGTCACTCAAATTACATAAATATTTCACGTTTGCCACTTAAATTACTTTTCTTTCTTATTGGCCACTAACTTTACAAATTGTTTCACCGTTAGTCACTAGCCGTCCATCACCGTTATACTCCGTTAACGCCGTTAAATTTTTGATGACGTGGCAAACGAAACTGCTGACTGAGCTGACAGAAGGCTAAGATGGAATTTATTATTATTATATTTTTTCAAAAATAAAACCCAATACATTCATTCAACTCACCAATGTCGGCCCTCATTCCCCTCTCTGCTTCTCATCTGCATCTCATCCTCCTTTCCCCTCTTTTGCTTCTTCTCGACCTTCTCTCTATCTCCCTCTTCTATCAAACCCAGACAAATTAGAACCCCAAATCACACTCTCCTCCTCCCTCGATCTCAATCTGCCACTGCTTTGCTCTCGTCGCCGGCAGGAGAACGAAGGTGGTAAGTGGTTTATTCCTTCTCAATGCTTGTTGATTTTTACTGTTTTTGTTTGATTCCGAGTTTAAGGAGTTTCGATTTTGATATGTAGGGGTGGTTATGTTTTGGAGGGTTTCCCTAGATCTGGAAGAAGAAACGGGGACAACGGCGGATCGATGACGATGGTGTGGATTCCCGGCAGAGGCTGTAGCGGCGCCTTTGAGAGGAGGCTGTAGCGACTGGTCTTGGCGAGCAGTGACGACTTCGACTCCGACAGGAAAACTTGGTGGTGCGGCGGATTAGGATGCTGAAGGCGACGGAGTTTACGGCAACAAGGGCCACCGGGATGAGGAACGAGCAACGAGCGGCGGCGGATGAAGACGACGGTGGCGCCGCAAAAACTTGAATCGATGATTGTGGTAACAGCGACCTCGCCGATGCGACGGGGAGATCGATGGCGCCGATGGCGGAAACGACCTCGGAGGCTGATTGATGACAAAGGCGGTGGACTGAAGACAGGGAAGTCGATGATGTTGTGGTCTCAGATTGTGAGGTATCGATTGCCCTGTTTGCCAAAACCAGGGGTATCGCAGCGGTCGCCCTTCACGTTGGACTTTTGGTCTTGCGAAGAGGAAGGAGAAAAGAAAGGTTACAGTGAGAAGAGAATGAGGTGTAATCTTTTTTTTTTTAAAAAAAAAAATTGACACGTCATTAAATAATGTCCAGTCAATAATTGCGTTTGCCACATCATAAAAAATCTGACGGTGTTAATGGAGTTTGATGGAGACTGACGGTCGGTGACTAACGGTGAAACGATTTGTAAAATTAGTGGTCAATAAGAAAGAAAAGTAATTCGGGTGGCAAACGTGAAATATTTATATAATTCGAGTGATCAATCGTATAATTTTGCCATTTTTATACATAATACGGTTTTATATGGTCGAATCCTGTGCTTAAGCTTTTATCGGAACTTTGGCAGCGTTTTGGTGGCGTACTTGCTTTGACAGCTTGTTGTCTCATTACCTGTCCTATGTATACATTTTAGAATATTATATAAATAAATACAAACTATCAACTTATGCTCTAGACTGTTATACATCACATCATGACTAAATATCAATGTCGAATCGAGTTTACGATTGAGTCAGCAACAAGTGGATGCAATGATAAATTCATTTTTGAAGCTTATTTACCTTATTCAAGATAAATGATTATCTAACTAACATATTTGTGAACTAAGATTATAATTTCGTCCGGCAACAATGGAGTAGAGATAGCAATCAAACCCATGGTCACCTCTCACCCAGTCAATACGGGGAATCCCCGCATTGACCGGGTATGGGGCGCGTATGGGTAAAACCCGCAAAGAATTAGATGAGTATGAGGCGGGTATGATTTTAGTGTTCCCTGCCCCATCAAGGTATTTTGCTATACGTAAAAATCTACAAATATATTTTTTATAAATTATTATTAGCATGAAGGTAGTAAAATAAGAAAGCATGATTAAAATATAATTATATTTATCACAACTCTTGAAAACCCTCTTAGCCGACTAGAGTTTATTTTCTCAATTCCTCAATGTCGCTGTCTTTCCTACCCTGCCTCTTGAAGCATCTTGGAGATGACCACCTTACCAAAATTGTGGATGAGATAGTAATAGTCATTGCATATCATCTTTTACATTTGAATTATTTTGATGCATATTGGTGTAACTTATTGTGTTTGAAGAATTGGTAGTCTATTAGACTTTAATCTTTTAGAAGCAAAAGAGGTTTTTGTCTAGTTGACAAGTTTATGTTAGCTATTTACTATATAGACGTGTTAGATTCGAAGATGAATGATTTGATATAGTGTTATATTTTTATTTTATTTTATTGATTAATCAATATTTTATAATTGAATGGTTTTTCCTATTAAGAAATACTGTAACTATGTTGATTTCTGCTATTTATTATGTATGTTTTGTGTTGTAATTGAAGACATACATGTTGAACTTTAAATATAATAATACGTAGGCGGGTATGAGGATGAATATGGAGTCATTCAATACTTAAATCAATCAATCCTCCAACACAAGATCTAGAGATCAGTAAGGTATATTCATATGTTACAATAATCTACGTCTCCGAAAGCTAGATTTGTACCAATTAGACGACTCTATAAAATGGATGTGAAGGGAGAGAAGTTTTTGTTGTGCGTGTGCAAGTGGAAGTAACCAGAAAATGAAAGTGAGAAAAAGAAAGAAGGGAGAGGCGTGTGGGAGCGAGTAGAAAAAGAGTATTGAGAGTGAATGATCGTTTGCTCTGCCATGCTGCCATTATATAAGAGTAGGGGTGGCTATACGGTCCGATCCGATTAAATTGGACCAAATTGATCCGGTCTCAATCCGGTCTTTTCGAGAATATAAGGACCAAAGATTGGATTGGATACAGTCCGGTCTTGACCCGGTCCGGTCCTAATTTGATCTTGATTTTAGATTGAGCTTGTGAGAATATGAGTGTTGGGGTCTCTTATCCGGTTTTTATCCGGCTTTTTACCTCAAATCTAAGCCCAACTATGAGATTGGATTGTTTGCTATCTGGTCCCAGTCCGGTCCCGGTCCGGGTTATACGATCTGGTTTCGAGGAAAAACCAAACAATCCAGACCAAATAACCAGCCTATATAAGAGCTAGCCTGTCATGGCTTCCCTAGAAACCCATATATCCTGTGCATAATCACTCACATTACTATAATCTCTCTCTCTCTCTGTCCGCCATGGCTAGGCTTTCTGCAATGACGAAGATGGTGGGCCTGGTCGTGGGCTTAGCCATGTTGGGCTGTAGTCTGCAGGTAGCCCGGGTCGGGGCGGATTTTGTCCCTCTGTATGTGTTCGGCGGTAGGTTTGTGGACAGTGGAAACAACAACTACTTGGACACGACAGTTAAAGCAGACGCGCCGCCTTACGGGATCGATTCTCCGACCGGCCGCCCCACCGGCCGTTTCTCTAATAACCGCAACATACCCGATTTCATTAGTACGCATCTTGATTTTTCATTAGTACGTTTCTTCTAATAATGGTGTACGTACGTACGTTCACCACGTTGGACATACACATGTGACACAGGTCAAGCGCTTAAGCTGCCGGAGCCACCAACACCATACTTAAGCCCACAACTTACCGGGGAACGGCTGCTTTACGGTTGCAACTTCGCTTCCGCCGGAGCCGCAATCTTGAATGACACCGGACTTCGTCTCGTAAGCCCTTTTGACGCTATACACATTTGTTTAGTGTTTTGGGTCTTTAGGGTTAGACCTCGAGAACGCTATATACCTGACCTTCTCAATATCTGTAACTAGATTTGGGCTCGACCCGTTGATCGGCCCGTGGAAAACATAATTTTCACAGAGTATAATTTATTTCATCTCAACCATGAACATTATAGGAGATTCGGTTTTTCTCTCCATCATCGACCGTGTCTTCCTTTTCCCCAAATCTCCATCATCAATTCCACTAAACCCTAAGCAAAAATTAAAAAATTCAATGGTAAGGCTAAATTACACGTTTGGTCACTCGAATTATACAAATCTTTCACGTTTGCCACCCGAATTACTTTTCTTTCTTATTCGCCACTAACTTTACAAATCCTTTCACCGTTAATCACCGGCCGTTACACTCCGTTAAATTTGTCCTACGTGGCAGTCAACTTTAAAGTTTGACCGTTAACTAAATGACGTGGAAATTAAAAAAATAAAAAAAATTATTTATTTTTCTACCTCATCATTCCACTTCCTTTGTCTACATGATTTATCATACTATTTATTAAACGAAATTAATTAAATTATAAATATAAATTATCGGCGGGCATCTCCTCCACTACGTCGGCAGAGGGACCGGGATGGTCGCCGTCCACCGATCGACAAACTTCTCCTCCCACACGCTGATCTCCGTGTCTACGAAGGAGGACGTCGAGAACCTGATGGAGTACGACCGAGGCACGCTGAATCATCGGCTCGCCTCCAGCTCATCCTCTTCCCAAGGGGGAATCGGATAGTACGATAAACATAATGGCTGCCAAGAACTCCCTCCGCCATGTGGCCATCGCCAAAAGCTCCATCACGGCTGCCAAGAACTCCCTCCGCCTTTTCCGGTCGACGTGTAAATCGAAATTCCCCAACCCATTTCCTTCTCTTTGCAGCATGGATTTGAACTTGTTAAACTTTGGGCTTTTAACGGCGTTGACGGAAAACAGAAGAGGAATGGGCGACCGGGAGATAGAATGGATCAAATCTCCGCCGTCTCTCACCGTCAATCGCAGCAGGGGCTTCATTGGATAGGTAGATCTTCGTAAGGTATGACTCCTCCGCTTTCAATGCTGAAGCGATCCTCTGCAACAAACAAAAAGACATAGTGAATCGGGCGGGATCCATAATACTGACCCGGAACGCCATCTCCAAACATATCACAAATATCCCAAAACCCCCATAGCAAGAACCCCAACCTAGGCTTTCATCATAGGCAGGCGACGAAAGAGGAATCGACGCTGCAGATCGGGACGGAATGGACCAGGTTTTTGGTTAAAGAGGAAGCGTGGTGGGAGGATTCTACGTCGGAATCCAAAGCCGACATCCTTTCCTCAACCAGCTTTCTTCCCGCCACCGATGCTTCAGGAGAGATCTCAAGCATCTTCCTAGACAATAGGAACCTCTGTTGCATTTGCAATTTGTTCCTCCTGATAATTAATTTTTTGTAATTTAATAATTTGTATGAAATAAGTAATATGATAAATTATATTGATAAAGTAAGTGGAATGATGAGATGGAAAAATAAATTTTTATTTTTAATTATTTTTAATTTCCACGTCATCTATTTAACGGTCAAATTTTAAAGTTGACTGCCACGTAGGACAAATTTAACGGAGTGTAACGGCCGGTGACTAACGGTGAAACGATTCGTAAAGTTAGTGGCGAATAAGAAAGAAAAGTAATTCGGGTGGCAAACGTGAAAAATTTGTATAATTCAAGTGACTAAACGTGTAATTTAGCCCAATGGTAAATATTCCAAATTGTGAAGCACCATTTTCAAGAAGTTAAATTTTCTCTCATCCATGTCATCAACAGTTTGAGGTTACTCTTATTCATCGTTCCTTATCTTCAAAACTATTCGCTTATAAGGTTAAAAAATTATAATCCGTGAGTTTGATGTTAAACTTCAAATTTTCCCTCAAATCGTGGGGGATGAAGTGGTGAAGGTCCTCCTATTCTGTCACTATCTTACAATAGCTTCTTAGTAGGTATATACATTGCCCTAATATTAGAGAAATCGTTAGCATCTGAATATGATGACTCGTGGTCAAGATAAAAAAAAGGAAAAACGATGCTCATCAATGGCAGATCTGAGCTCTTCAATTCTTTCAATCTAATCTCAACACCATTGGTAGAACAAACTGTTCAATCTGGGATCAATATTAATTTTTAGACAACATTTGCATATATCAAGAAATACAGTTTTTAGAGAAATTTACAATGTAGATTGAAGTCTGCATAGGTCAAGTATGAACAACACTAATTTGTGTGAGGAATTTTTTGAAAAATTCATTTATTGAGAATTCTTAAAACATGTATTATATATCCATCAGTAAAAAAAAACATGTATTATCCAAGTTAAAATAAATTAGATATGATCTCTTGAAAAATAATAAGAAAATAATTACACACTTAGAATTACGGATGTAATAATATAATTATAAACCAACAATATATACATTACTTATCCTAATACAATTTGAACAAGGTAAATTATAATAATATTTAATAAATGATGACAACATTAACAGTTTTGCAACTTTTGCTAACTGTAATCTATAGGGCTGGATTTTTGGTTATCTCGGTTATAACCGGTAACCGAAATGTCGGTTACCGGTTAACCGCGACCCCAAACACTCCTACCGCCAACCGCCCGACGGAGCCCATCGGTTATCCGACAACCGACCGGTCGGTTACCGGTTAGTTCGCGGTTAGCCGAGTTAACCGCAACGACGTAGTTGCCTCGACGCTGGAACGGCGGCGGAGGTGAAATCGAGGTTGAATTGAGATCCTTTCTTCTCCAGGACTGAATTCAGACACTGCACGGCGGGCTTCGAATCGGCGCACATCGCGATGTGCGGCTGCTTGTTCTTCCCGATTTCGGCCGAATCGATGTCGATGTGGACGATTGTAGCTCTGCTGCCGAACGTTTCGACTTTCCCGGTGATGAGGTCGTCGAATCGCACACCGAACGCGAGGAGGAGATCGACGTTGTCGATGGCGTAATTGGCGTACATGGCCCCGTGTATTCCGAGCATTTGGAGGGAGAGATCGTGGTCGCAGGGGAAGCTCCCGAGCCCCATGATCGTGCTGGCCACGGAAATACTCGTGAGATCGACGAATTGACGGAGCTCCTCGCTGGAATTCAAAGATCCACAGCCGACGTAGAGGATCGGCTTCTTCGATTGGTAGATTAATCGAACGATCTGTTCCAATTGGGGAATCTCTGGCGGTATGGGGAGTCAGGCAGTGTAACCCAAGCAGGGAAGAAGGGAAGGGAAGGGGTGGGCGGCGGCACAGAGGAAGCGAGCAGATGCAGAGAACGAGAGAAGAGAAGGGAAGGGGTGGGCGGGTGGCTTCTATTAGGAATTTAGGTGTGGGTCGGTTAGCCGGTTAACCGGCGGTCATCGCCCTCGGTTAGCCCGTTAACCGCCACATCTAACTCCCCTACCGAACACCGTCCGAGAACATAATTTTCGGTTAGTCGGTTAACCGGTAACCGTCGGTTATCGGTTTAACTGACCGGTTAACCGACAACCAATAACCGAACCTCCAGCCCTAATAATCTACATTACATCCATTAAAAAAGCTAGCCTGAAAGACAAAATAACCCTTCCGCACTGTGCGCAGAAGCAAGAAAAAATTGAATTGGGTGGGTGGTGTGGTGATATAGAATCTCTCCTTATATTGTTTGTAGGATTTGTACCTTTTTTAAATATACTGAAACTGATCTCTCATACCTTTGCATTAGCTAACCCACATCGTAATGGTGAATCGGTGTTGGTAATCACAATTTGTGGAAAACTATTATATGTTATTACCAAAATATAGGAATTACAATAACTGATTCTCATAATAGCCCTAATACAATACTAATACGGAAATCATCCAACCTCTACGACTCTATGATAAGGAATATAACTCTGTCAAATTGCATATCAATACTCATATTATAACATACTACTACTCTTACTACTTCTCATTGGTGTTATTGTACTAGAGGAACATAATAACGATCCCCAAGCAATTGCAAGCCTTCCCGCAATACAAGAACAAGCTGGCGGCGCAAGTCGGAGGAAGAGAACAAGCTGAGCGACTAGTCAACAAGGGAGTGTTCCTCCTCTCCATCGTCTCCGACGATTTCGTCAACAACTATTACTCGCCACCTTTCTCGTCCCGCGCCAGCCAGTACACCATCTTCGAATTCATCGAACTCCTGATCTCCGAGCTATCCAAAATCCTGCTGAGGCTGAACGAGCTGGGGGCTCGCCGTTTGCTGGTATTTGGGTCCGGCGGGTTCGGGTGCTGGCCTGCGCTTTTGGCAATCAGGGGAAGCACCGACGGCGGGGAGTATGTGTTTTGGGATTCCACCAATCCAACCGACAAGGCTGAGGGGCTATTTGTGGAAGGCATCTTGAGTGGTCCTGCAGACGTTGTCTTCCCAATTAACCTCAATACCATGCTCGCCATGGAACATGAAGCCTAAAGTCTGTAATATATGTGGGGCGTTGCCAGTTTCTAAGCTGACATTTCTTGGGATTATTCCTGATCAAGAATGGCTCAGATTTCATGTAATTTGTAATGTTGTTTGCTTTGAAAAGTACTTGTTGTCCCATCATCTGTCCTATTTATAAAATTTTAGGATATTATATAAATACAATCTATTAACTTAATCAATCTCATGTTCGAGATGTATTATTAATTGTTAGCAATAGCGAAGCTAGAAATCTGAATGGGGTAAAAATCTACATTCAAAATTTTTATCAACGAGACTAAAACTTAACAAACTACTAATTTTTTTTTCAAATTTATTATGAAATTTACATGTATGTATAAATTGTTTTGAGAGCTGAGCAGGGCTACGGCCTACAGCCTCCCCCTGCCACGAACATTGCTCCGCCACTGGAGATTAGATGATCATCGACCGCGACAAAGCATACCACAACCTTAGCACGACTGGTGCAGTTTGGTTCGAACTATGATTGTCAAACTGCTGGTATGTCGACCGCTACAATCAGTATTGGACGAAAATCAGTTAGAAAACCACTGATATGAAGCGGTAGTCAAAACTATCAAAACCGAGAAAAAAGTGATACAATCAGAATGATAAATATTCGGTTCCAAAACAAAATGACAACGTTCTAATGATATATTAACTATCAAAAAAAATAAAAGAAATTTGTCTTATATAATATATATACAGCCAGATACCACCATACCATATTCTTCCTCTCACAACACTACATGCATCTCAATCTTTATCCTCTTCATGCCTCGCCATTATATATATTCCACCAACGTCCTCTTCTTCAGTCTTCCCTTCTCCTCTATTTCACTTCCGGTGTTTGCACACCACACAACACAAATCAGTCAATTCACCAGAATGATATGAGAAAGGAGAGAAGTTTTTGTTGTGTGTGCAAGTGGAAGTGATGAGAAAATGATATGAGAAAAAGAAAGAATTGAGAGACGTCGTGGAGTGATGAGTAGTAGAAAATGAATATTGAGATTTGAGAATGAGTGATCCACATTTGCTCTGCCACGCCGTTATATAAGAGCCTGTGATGAGAAATCACATAACCATAATCTCTCTCGTTCTCTCTCTTTCGCTCTCTGTCCGCCATGGCTACCCGTTCTGCAATGGCGAAGATTGTGGGCCTGGTAGTGGGCTTAGCCATGTTGGGCCGTAGTTTGGTAGCCGGCGGGGTCGTCGGGGCGTCCGGCCCAGATTTTGTCCCTCTATTTGTGTTCGGTGGTTCCCGTGGAGATAGTGGAAACAACAATTACTTGGACACGACGGTGAAGGCCGACTCGCCGCCTTACGGTATCGACTCTCCCGCCGGCCAACCCACCGGCCGTTTCTCTAATAACCGCAACCTGCCCGATTTCATCAGTACGTAATTTGATCCATTGTTTCATGTACGTATTTCGCAATTCCAAAGCAAATATGGTGATATACTGATATTTGGGATAGCAAACAGGCGAAGCACTGAAGCTGCCGAGGCCTCCATTGCCGTACTTGAGCCCACAGCTCGACGGGGAGAGGCTGCTTTACGGTGCCAACTTCGCTTCCGGCGGAGCGGGGATCTTGAATGACACCGGAGTCCAGCAAGTAAGCTTTCTTCCCTTTTTTTTCGTACCGATAGGTACCAATAATTTGAGTTGTTGGGAGATGACCATGTATGTATTTTAATCGCTTACATGCTCTCTCAAACGAAAATCAATTCATCAACTTCACATTTTATAATCAGCTTTGGTCCATGATTTCAGAAATTAACATCCTGACGCCAACTATATAACATATAGACTTAATTGGCTCGATACATGGTTTGACCGTCAATTTGAATGGTCAACATGTCATTGCCTCGTCAGTCTAAAAATTATTAAAAATTTCAAATTAGTTTCCTAATTTCTATTATTTATCATTATCAAATTAACCAAAAAATAAAATTACAAAAAAAATATATAATAAATTTATATTTTATTATATAAATTTATTAGGGCAACATAATAACGATGTCTGAGCAGTTGGAAGCCTTCCACCGATACAAGGATCAGCTGGCGGCCATTGTCATCGGAGGAAGAGAACAGGCTGAGCGACTAGTCAACGAGGGTGTGTTCCTCATCACCGCCGGCGCCTTCGATTTCGTCAACAACTATTACCGGCTCCCTTTCTCGGCCCGCGCCAGCCAGTACACCGTCGCCGAGTTCGTCGATCTCCTGATCTCCGAGCTATCCAAAATCCTGCTGAGGCTGTACGAGCTGGGGGCTCGCCGGACGGTGGTGGTCGGGGCCGGCCCGTTCGGGTGCTGGCCGGCGATATTGGCAACCATGGGCAGCGCCGACGGCGGGGAGTGCGACCCTGAGCTCCAGAACGCGGCGTCTCTCTTCGACTCGCAGCTGAATCGGATGGCCCGGCGGCTGAACGGTCGACTCGGTGGCGTTTTCTTTGTTGCTGCCAATTCAGTTACATTGGCCAACGAGCTCATCGACAATCCTGAGGCTTACGGTAAGAAACATAACTCTTCGTTTACCAAGGTTGGTACGTATAATTCAACGAAAAAAAAAAGGTTGGTACGTATGGTAATATAAATAATAAAGTACATTTGGTATTTTGGTTATGCATGACATAGTTACTAAATACTTAGTGTAATATACGTATATGTATCTGTACGTATTTTATTCGTTGAAAACTTTTTTCGTAATTATATTATTGTCAAGCCATTTCATTTTTTTCATTTATTTGATTGCTCTCACATCGTACTAAACACGTATAAAACCCGTATAACACGTTTAAAAATCCTTATTTAATGAATATAAAATTGTTAACTTTATAATTATTAATTTGTTTTTAAAATAATTGATTTTATATATTTATTACTATTAACGTAGTATTAAACGTAACATTAGCCTAGAGACGAAGTAAAACATCCGTACGTATTTTATACATAACTTTCCCGCACCGTATTTTACTAACTATGATGCATGGGTTATGTAGGGTTCACGGAGACGAAGGTGGCTTGTTGTGGACAGGGTCCTTATAACGGACTAGGGAAATGCACGTCGGCGTCGAATTTGTGTTTGAACAGGGATGAATATGTCTTCTGGGATTCATCCAATCCTACCGACAGGTCCGTGGGGTTCTTTGCTGAAAACATCTTGACTGGTCCTCCGAATGTTATCTTTCCCATGAACCTCAAGTCCATGATGGCCGTGGAACACTAGGGTCGGTAGGTAGCATTTATACGGGTTGGACTCTCTCACTAAACTCTGGAGTTACACACTTCTCTCTCTAAGAAAAAGACTAATTTGATTGTTGGAGGGTTAACGGGCCCAGACACCCCCTTCTTTGTGCATGTGCAGAGGTCAGGAGTTTAAATCTAAAGATCAGGCTCCCGGGTGTTTGGGCTCAACCCCGTTTTCATTTTAAGCTCGAAAGAAAGAAGAAAGAAAAAAAACTAGAATGCGTCGCTCATCAAGCCAACGTATAACTATAGTGTCTTACAGTGGATTAATGAAAATCGATGTCAAGAATAACCCTTCAACTTTGAGAGTGGCCAATAGGGAAAATTGTAGTTGCATAAAGTACGAATTAAATGGTATATATTGATGATAAATAAGTTCGATATCTAAATTATCCTTTAGTTATTATAAGGTCGATAATTCGATTCTTATCCACGTGAATAGAATTAAGTTCTTCCAAAACCATTATTTATTAATTTTTCTAATCCGATAACTCAATAACCAAATCACAAAGGGAATTCAAAGCAATACAAACTTGGGAAGGCCCATTGGACATCGATGGGTTGGGAATTCGACCGAACCAAGTTCTACTCATGTTCGGTTGCAAAACTGGATCAATCTGTTGAATTAGGCAAGGAAATCAAGTCTGAAGATTGCCTCTTTTGTCCGTTGCACCTTTTCAGCAGTATCAAAGGAGACAGCTGCTCATTATTTGAGAGTTTCCTTCTTTGAATTCCAACGGCTAGCTGATCTTGGGAAAGTATAAATATCTCTTGGTGCTTGCTCCTGCGAATGTACTTTGTAAAAAGAAAGAGTTATAGTGGTAAAGGGCCGAGCTCATAGATTACAAAGGGTTGACAGAAGCTGAGGTATAGGTTCTGCTTCTGTCAAGGCAGAACAGGTTAAGGGTGACCTGGTTTAATTTGCTTGTTCTATTACTTTTGTTTTGCTTGTGTTTTGCTTATCAAAATCAATAAAATTCAAGGGCCTCCCAGACCATCTTCTGGGACGTGGAAGTAAACCATTGCACTTGGGCGAACCACGTTAAAAACGACCTGTCTTATTTATGCTTCTGCACTTTTCTTGCTGTGTTCATACTCGGTGTTCCTGGTGAACACTCTGGTTCTGAAAATTCTGTTCCTCAACCTTAGAGAAGCAATAACAGTTTCGGTGTTTTTGTGGATTTGGGCCTCGAGCCTTCTCTTAAAACACTACTCCCTTTTTCCTTCAGTCCAGTTAAATTAAAATTCTTTTGTCTAGGCTTAGTCTTCTATTCGGGCCCAACTGGTCGAAACCCGAGTTGGAAGAGAGGCGGTATTCCCTCGGTCTTCTCCATTTCACTCAATGGACTCAGAAACCTAATTCCCAAATTAGCAGAATTCTCTGTACACAATCCAGAATCTTCCGCCACTTGATTGTGATTATCACCACAATCTCAATCAAAGATGCTTGTCTGACTCATGGGCCATGTTCTTAACCTAATAGCCTTAAACAACAAATTAATTACGACTGTTTATCCTGATAAATAGTATATGGAACTAACTATTGATCCATTATTATAGTTCAAGTGGGAGTCGTATAGTCTAGCTTTAAGGGTTTTTTCAACCCAAAAATAGAGTAAAGCCTCGTTTGTTAGTTAAACGTATTAGAAATACTTGTACCTTCCTTTTTCCATCCCGTCCCGTTCTTTATTTGTGAAATAGTTTTAAGTCTAGTTATGTCCGATTTTTATCATGATATAATTATCAGGTGATTTTAATCTCTCATATTGGAGTCGTTTGAAGAAAAATATTGGTTTGTGGATTCAATAAACCTATATAATCATTAAAAAAACAATTTGTATTACTATTTTTTTTATCATGAATTTTAGGTATAGAGATTTCAAATCTCTAAAATCGAGATTTATCAAATCTCTCATGATCAAAGAGTTCTAAATCTTCATTTGTGAATTTTTTTCTCTGCCTTTTCTCTTTCTTTCTTATTTATTCCACCAAATACCCTCATTAGGGGTGGGCATTAGGTTCGGTTTTACCGAACCAAATAAAAATCGACCGAAACCAAAGTACTTGTAATTAGGTTCGAAATTCGGCTGTAAATAGGGGAAATTTAGGAAATCAGGTTCGTTTGAACCGAACCAAAATTCTGAATAACCGACCGATTTCCGAAAATATTAACCTACTGCCTGAATGTCTCAGCCCAATACTGGAGGCCCAGCCTTCTTTTTTCAGCCCACTCCGCCCTAGTCCAACAAATTGGATTAGGCTTCCTGGGCCCTGGGCGGCTAGGCCTGCTCCCCTTGCAGACTTCAAGTCACTCGACCTAGTAGTCCCTCATCAATAAATTCTATATATTTCTAATTTCTCAACCCATTTTGAGTCTTTTAGTTAAGGATAAACGTGTCATTTGATGATGATAATAATAATAATAATAATAATAATAATAATAATAATAATAATAAATTTCTATTTCAACTCACAATTATATATTAAACAATGATCCTTCTAAAAATTTCTTTCAACAGTTGAATTAGTTAATACCTTTGAATTGCTCAGAATCTAGAATTTCACGCTCCATCTTTAATTTGTTCCAAGTCCACCAAATAATCTGGCTAGCCAGCTTAATGGGACGAGAACCTGTACTTAACGTAGTAGCATCTAACACTTTCTGTTTATATAGCAATGGTGATCGATGAAAGAATATGGAGCTTGGAGTGCCAAATTCACTGGTCCATGGAAAAGGAGGAAATGGGAGTTTGCAATTGGAAGGATGTGAGTGGATGAGCGTATCACTTTCTCTGAAAAGGTAAGCCAAAGTTAATTGAGGGCGATGACTTGATGGCCAAAGGTAGAGCCATTGGGCACAAGTTGTTAGATTGTGGTCCATTCAGTTTCGATTTCGTACTAACGGTTGAAATGATATTGCTTACAGAATATGCGACAAACAAAGTTAAGGTAGAGTTATATAATTAAGTTGAATAGTGAAAACTCCTTCCTTTCATCTTGTGGGTAAAGGACGAGTAAGGCGATTATAATTCAATTGCAAATCTTAAGCAAGTTGACAGAAGTGTATAAACAAATGAATTAGATGAGCAGGTTTACTTCTGAGAGTCGGTTGAACTACCTCACAATATGAGTTTTTGGATTAATTTATAGCACATCATATTGAAGCTTGCCATTCAGCTACTTCACCATTCACATTTACAAACACCGATTTGTAGCATACTTAATTTGGTCTAAATCCATCTCCTGATCGAATGAAAATTAAACATCAACTCCATTCTTCTCTAAAATTTTCATTCTTTCTTCGTTCAATCATCTATTCATTATAGAATTTATGAGCTTCGACGAAACACATACTCTATTTAAAGAATCATCAACTGCATCACTGATCCTGTCAAACCGGTGCTATATGTATCCCAACCATCTCCTTCCATTAGAAGTGGAAATCCAATCTTTATCTTTATTACATTAAGGGTTCGTTTGCTTCATGGATTTAAAAATGAGGGTTTTGTAATTTAAAAACCCAAGGATTTATCAAGGATTTGAGGCATCATGGATTTGTAACAATCCTTTGTTTGTTGGGATGTTTTTATCATGGATTAAAAACCCAAGGATTTATCAAGGATTTGAGGCATCATGGATTTGTAACAATCCTTTGTTTGTTGGGATGTTTTTATCATGGATTTAAAGGTGTGGGATTTACTACTTGAATTCAAAAATTACATTACTGCCCTTTTCTATACGTTTGACATGTTTATGATATGTACACAAAACAAGGACAAAAATTCAAAATTACCTTACTATCATTTTCTATATGTTTGACATGTTTATGATATGTACACAAAACAAGGACAATACATACTAATAAGCATAATGTTGCCACATGGACAATAATAATAAACGAGAAAATTCCGTTTTAACTTTTAACGTAACATAATCAATTACCAATTCTTTGTCCTCCTTTTCAAAAGTGACATATAACAACATATATTAGAATCGGGAGAACAGAGAATTACACGTTCCATGAAAATGTCAAAGAAAACTAGAACACAAGAAATGATATAAAAAATCTAACTCATGTTTGCACATTAATTGAACGTTTATATTATTCATTTATTGTTAATTATAATGTATAATAGTTAAATTTGAGGGCAACCTTGGAATATTAAAAGTGCATGAGGATATATGGGTAAAATCTCATCAAAGATTTATGCCATATTCCAAATCCCACATCAACATGTGGGATTTATAAGTCCGTGGGGTCCACGGATTTGGACCATTAAAATCCGTGGGCCCCACGGATTTGGTCTCCAAAAAAGGTGCAAACAAACAAAGGATTGTACCTAAATCCTTGATAGTTGGTTTTTTGGTACCAAATCCATGTACCAAATCCTTGAAGCAAACGACCCCTAAGATAGTTTGGTATTCAAAGATGCATGAATTTTGTCATAAATAATAGTAATTAGAAAGAACATAGTTCAAAAACTTAATTACCATTAACATTTTTACCAAAATAGCCCTCTTTATGGAACTTGGCTTTGAGACCACAAACCGTCCGACCCCACCTTTCTGATTCAGACGAGAAACAAACAACAAGAAAACAGCTTGAGCTCAGTTGCCGGCTGGTTTGACTCAACTCCCTTCGTCGCCCAGTAAACCCGGCCGAACCGAATCATCGCCCAAACCATAAAACTTCTAGAAAAAACAATCTAAACCATAGACAAAATAAACATCAAGAGATGAACAAGGAAGGATGGCAAGGAAGAAACTATATTTATAAGAAATATTTTTTTGGGTGGTTTCTTCAGGTAACCGAATTTTACTCAGCCGTAAAACCCGGTCTGGCTCCACACCGCATCCCTCACGCGCCGCAGGTCACGCCCCTTCAACGTCCGCCCCACCCCCTCGAACACCGACGCCCCTCCACTCTTCCGTCCCCGCGCGTACTCACGCGCCAGGTACTCGTGCGGCGGCACCATCTCGTCAGACGAGTAGTCGTGATCGTCGCCGCCGCCGAACCCTCCACCGCCACCGTTGCCCATTTCGTGCAGCGATTCCACCGAGTCGATCCGGTAGATCTTGCTCCAATCTGGGACGTTCACCGGAGCCGACGACGCCACGTGTCGCGACCCACCTCCGGCCCGGTCACCGCCGCGGAATTGGTGCAGAATCCTCGTCGCCGTAGCCGCCGTCTCCGCCGCCTGAATTTTCTCCGAGGAGACGGAATTGGAGGAATCCTCGAACGCCAACGACAGGCCGCCTCCGCCGCCGCTGCGTGGGGCCCGATGGCGCGTCGACATGGACATGCTTCCGGTGCGTGAGCTCCACTCGCTCAGCGACCCGTTGTCCCCATCGTAACGGCTATCGTCGTCATGGTGGAGCGTGGACCACACGTCCTCCTCCCGGAGCTCCGACTCGCCGGCGTGGTGGTGGCCGTTGCTATAGCCTCCGCCGTAGGCCCCGAGCAGGCGTTCGCTGCGGCTGGTGGTCAACCTCCTGTTGCCTTTCGCCATGTGGTGGTGCGGGCGGCGGCGTACGTATCATAAAGGGGTTTTTTTTTTCCCGCGCAACCGGCGGCCGGTCCTTTTCTTCCCGCCCTTTTCGAGGAAGGTACTCCGGCCGACGGAGGAAAAAAATTCAGAAGAAGAAATGGAAAGGGCGAAAGGAGAAAGAGGGAATTGAATTGCTAGGAGTCCATTTCTTCTTCCTTTTTTCCCCCACCTTGTTCATAAGGCGGGATTGAAGAAGAGTTCATGTATATATACAGAGAGGGAAGGGGGGGTTTCATTTGAGGTGAATTTGGACGTCATTTGGGCTGCATTATTCATTTTTTTGGCGTTTGGGGAAATTAAAAAAATTGGAGAAAATAGATGGATGGTAGGAAACTAAATTAATTTAACAAATAAAAAATTCAGCACTCGAAAAATTGGATGGTGAGAATAAAATAGTATAAAAATAAACTAAGACAATCACGAAACTGTTATGATTTTATTATTATTTATGTGGTTTTTCTTATCAGTTTTTTTTTATCTTTTTGTCATAAGAAAATGGAATATTATTGTGTGATTTGGGGTGGGTTTCATTCATAATGCAAGAAGTCATATATATATATATATGGTTGTTGGTTGGATAGATCATTACAATCTTTTGATATATATAGTGTCAATTAGAAAGAATAAATAATTTTGGTGGACCATTACTAGTACATTTTACTTATAAGAGGAACATGATAATTATTTAAAGAACATTTCATCTAGTAGGGGTTTTTTTCCCTCTCACCTGACATTCTCCATAGTGCTTCTGTATTACTTAACTAAAAATGTCAATTATAAAATGTATTATCATGAACTACCATACATATGTGAATCACGTATGATTGCTAGCTTGTCATTGAGTGTTCAATTGGCGAAACACAATTTGTTCGACGTTTTAGACTCGCGACGTTGGTGTCTTCACACATCTGCTTGCTCGTTAGCCAAGAATCATTTGACCGTCAGATCCAAACCCTACGTAGCATCTAGATCACTAGATGCATGTCCACCATATATATTCCAAGGATTCTTGCCTAGAATTGATAAGTAACGAGAGCTCAATCACCAGAATCCTCCCATATACAATATTTTAAACCATTCGAGTCTATGGAACTACTGAACTCTGAAATCATTCCCCATGGTTTAGGATTAGCTTAAGTTAAACTTTTTTATGGATATAAAAAAAAAATGCACCATTAGGTAAGCTGTCCAAACTAAGTTTAAGAGTAAGAAAAAAAATTACTGAAATTCTTGCATTATCTCAAAGTTATCAACAATCATGCACTTGTCATCATAATGGACATATATGAGAGGCCAATGATTAAACTTTCTGTTGACAAATGACAATGACTTTTACCCTCAATCGGGTGAAAATGACTCGATTAATTATGGTATAATATGAAAGTAAATTAATTGCAATTCATTTAGGACCAGGATTTTTTCTAACTTATCTCTAATTGAATTAGTAGGCCTTGATTATCATTCACATGATGCACTCTCGAAATACAATGGATCGACTCATTGGGTAATTTGATTCAATTGTCATTATTCATACAGGTATTGAGTCGGAAGTCGAAATCAAATGGATCATATGTATTTTTAATGAGTTTGAGTTTGGATTGGTTTTAAATCGGTTTCAATTTACTTTTCAACCTTTTTTGTTTCATAAGCAAAAATTAGAAGAAGAAAAAATGCAATAGAATTGAGTATTCATTTTCTTTTAGGTACCCGATACTATATGTCCAGTTTAGATCCAAACTAAGAGATCAAATATAAGTATGTGCCGAAAGTAAAATTATTTAATTTAATTAGACTCATAATGAATTGAATTTTAACAATACCCAAACATTAGTTCTTTTCCAACTCTAATGCCTTGGTTTTGTTTTACTTTTTGCATGCCATCATAGTACTAGATAGTTTGGCCATAGTAATTTGGTACTAAAACGGAATTAGCCAAATTTGACAAGCAATTAAAAGGGTGGTTATGATAGAGCCCTAATCAAACAACAAAGAAGGAATATAAACGTTAGCTGTTTTTATACAACAATGAAGTTAGGATAAAACACACATCCAAACAAACTAGTACTATACGGCATTCAAGAAAATTGAGATTCTCGGCTAGTGGGTAGGACTAGAAATTAAGGCTTTCATTTATTTTTTCATCATTTTCATTTTTTATACTCAAGTACGTTGTATTCTTCACTCAAAACATGTCGAATTTATAAGAGTTTATATAATCGTACAAAATATACTCATGATAAGATCGGTTGATCAAAGAAATGTCAATGATCGATCAGTACTTCAAGCTGCCCACAAATTATTATTTAGCTAGCTACACTGATCATTTGAAATCAAAATTGGATTTCGATTCAACTAACCCCCTTGGTATATTTCATACCGAATCACCGATCAAGTTATGATGAAAACACGACTCTTGATTATGTTCAAGACTTCAAGTGATGGAATAGATCCTCAAATATTTGTTAATGAAAATTTGATGTCAAACATGATCTCGAGCCAAATAAGATCACAAAAACCCGAAATATCAAATATGTTCCTTCCTTGTACATAAGGTGCACTACTCACTCTGTGGTTTCGAATTTGAAGTTTTAATCACGACAAATCGTACTTTCACCATGCTAATACATACAATCGTGTAGTTGTCTCTCTCGATGATGTCAATTGGCAAACGCATCCAAATTAGGGACCCAACCTCCACGTGGGTATATAAATAAACTCCAAAAATTTCCCCCTCTAATCCTCCACTAATACCCCTAAATTACGTAAGTGGGGAGGATCCACGTCACTCTCACGTGCCACGTGGAGCTGTACCCCACCAAAATATACGAACAAAGTAGGAACATTACGCAATAACTATAGTAATTAATTAAGGGTAGGATATCAATTTGTTATTTTGTATTTTTGGGGGGTGAATTTATTTGCCCTTTTGTAGAAATTGATGTTTTTGGCGCCTTGGATGAATGGATATGAACTGGCCAGGAGCAATTTTTGGCTTATGTAGTTTAGCGCTTAGATAGGACCTCCTGAGTTACTATAACTTAGACCTATTTGACATGTTATAGTAGGTTTTACAGGTCGCATTATGTAAAACTAATGTTTCTTACGTAATGTTTATTGGTTTTACGTAACAATTAAACTATAAGCGTTACGGAAGGTTTTCGTAACGACTTATCATTTTACGTAACGCTAGGTTAATATTCATTACGTAAAAGCATCGGCTATTACATAAGGCTTCCGTAAATACATTTTACAACTGTTACATAAAATACAAGCTCATTACGTAAAGTTTACGTAACGAATGTTATTTCTTACGTAACAGTTAAATTAGAAGTGTTACGTAATACTTCCGTAATGACTTATCACATTACGTAACTTGATTAAGATTCATTACGTAAAAACACCATCCATTACGTAAGGCTTCCGTAATGACACTTTACAACTGTTACGTAAAGTATGCATCTATTACGTAACTTACGCAACGATAGTTATTGTTACGTAACAGTTAAAATAGAAGCGTTACGTAAGTCTTCCGTAATGATTTAACAGATTACGTAACGAAAGGTTAATATTCATTACGTAAAATGAGTGTTTATTACGTAAGGTTTCCGTAATGACATTTTTCAACTATTACGTAAGATAAACACACATTACGTAACCATTACGTAATACCTATTGTAATTTACATAATGCGACTTGTAAAACCTGTTATAGCAAGTCAAAAACATCAAGTTACAATAACTTCAAGGTATTGTAGGAATTTCCGCTTAGATATATTAGGTGGTGGTGGTGTTGGACCGCCATGAGATTATAAGGAATTCATGGGCTGGAAATTGTAAATATTGATTAAGTTCCTAGTGTGATACGAATTTGTATAAGATTCGTATTTGGATTTCTTTTAATAAGTTGAGTTATTAGGGATTAATTGATTATTGACATGGTATAAGAGTGTGGTTCGACCAAAACAAATTTTGATCGAGTTCAACTCTTCAAGATCTACAATATTGCACATGGTATAATAGGCATGTGGAGACTTCAAACCCGATGAGTTAGCTTTTATATGAGGGAGCCTGGAATTAGAAAGTTGCACAAAATCTATACTTGGGTCGATATTGACTTGTAATTGTAGTTTTGTTCACATCCTAAGATAATACTTGTAATTTCATTTTTACCCGAGAAAACACTATAAAATTAGGTTTACGTCAAAACTCCAACTAGGAGCTATCAATGCACTCTTACGAAGTAGATATTGACCACAACAACAACTACTAATTGAAAGAAAGATACCATGAGAATTTCACAAAACCCTGAGCTCGCCCGAATCAAGTCATGTCAAAATTTTGACCAGACTCTGTTAGTAACACTCGTACGGAGCAGATAATTCATAACAACGACTATAAACAACAAAAATGAGCAACAAATCGAAACAATTCACATGATCGAAGCAATTCACAGAGTCTCGATCCTTGACACCTCAGAATCATACAACATAATTAGTAGCACTAACTTAGATGCTACGTACATATTCAATGATCACTAAACCCCCAACGTTACAAATTAAAATTACTCAAACTAGCTGAGTGCTTTTCAATGGGGACTAAACCAGTAGTACAAAAAAGCTTCACATATTTCAGACGAGTACGTGCCGCGTGATGATGGATGGAGCACATTGAATGGTTCAAAACACAAAGTGGTGGTAGGGTATATATATATATGGATACATAAACATCGATCTCTCCAAATTGCAAAAAGGTCCCACCAACCAGGACTTGTCACAGTGTTTTGAATTGGACAAGAGAACCTTATCTCCATTCACCATCATTCATTTCACGATCAACAACACAATTTCATTTCCTATAATAGTGTCATCTGTTCACTATAGATCCAATGTCCCATGTAGAACATGGAGCTATAGCAACAAAGGATCTAATGGGTTGCTCCCTATATCTATATGCATGTTTCAATCACTACTCTGGAATCTAGATGTAAGCAAAATTGTTTTTAGATAAAATGGGTTGGTTACATATCCTTTCGTGGAGGATCACTTTTTATTTAGGGAAAATTTGAGAAACGGGATTCGCCAATAATGCGATGTCGCATTTCAACCTTTTATATGTGATTGGTGTTGCATTGTCCTTGACACCATGTCTTGTACGCGACATTATTTTCTGGTGATGTTGTATCATGTGGATTATTGTAGCGTATGTATAAGGATAATGCTTTGTTTTTCTCCTTTTGTTTAATTATTGAGCTAATGTTTACCTTGTTGATTACGAGTATTAAGTATTAATTGGTGTAAGCGGTTGCGGCAAATCCCTAGAGTAAGCTCATTCGCAAACGAGTGAGAAGTGCCGCGTAAATCTGTGTAACGCGAGGTTTACTTTTTCATTGATCAAAACCTTCATTTACAATCCGTCACCATATAATATTCCATATTGCATGAATTTCAACTGAGTTGATGTTTTCACTGGTTTATCATGACTCGAAACGGAAACAATAACGTGAAAAGTCTATTAACAGAGAAATAAGGAGAAACCCAACAAGTTGTTTTTACTCTCTTCCTCGTTGAGACGCAGGGGGAAAGCTTATTCACTATGTCTGAAATATGATATACAAACACATCGTAAGTCGTACTTATTCAAAACATGACTCATCGAACGAGACATCTAACGCATTATATCGATTAAGACCTACATCATCTAGTACGTACTTACTCCAATCATCAGAACATGTATGGACCATGGATACAAATATTGGTAATATATATTTACCTAGAATTGTGCTATAGCTGCATAGGTAAATCATCTGTAGCAAATTGAACCTGTGAAGGATGAATTCCAGGTTTGCTGTTGCACTTTTTTTGGTAGATGCTGTTTTGGTTGTTTATCAATTGAGTGCGTTTCTTGATGGTACACAACGATGAGAAGAAAAAAGCCAAGCTAGGGAGTACGTAGTACATCCATGATCCAACCCGAGGTATCTTGGACCGGGTCGGGTCATGATCTATGTGTATTATTGGAGCTAGGGGAAAGTAAGAAACCATAGGAACCCACTTTCCTTATGGTCAATTACAAAAAAGGATCACTAAATTCGGGGATAATTTTCTCCAGATTTTACAATATCAAACGTAATAGTCATTTTTTTATCCATTTAATTGTTCGTAAAAAGTTCATATATACAACTAGTTAGCTACGTTGGCGGGGCAAAAAAGGTGAGACTCGTGGAATTTAAACCATTGCAGCTTAACATGAAGGTCGATCTCTTACTAATTGAGCTATTTTTTTCAAAAAGTTTAAAAATTATACATGTATTTTTCACGGTAGGGTTGTAGTTTTATGGTGGGATCCCCAACCGTAATAAAGCTCAACCACAAACAAATTCGCTGGTATTGTCGAACTCTTTTTAGCATATACTCGATCTATATATACAAGACCATTACTCGAGTTGTTTCTTGCCCATACTGCTCGAACCAACCCCTAATATCTTCCGGAGTTCCTATCACTATTTCGGCGGATAATCGTTGTCTATCTAACAATTTTCACTATTGATTTGCAATATTATAGACTTGCGAAGATTTTTTTTTTTTTTTTTGGAAAAGATTAATAGTTAATAGAGTGACTATGAAATTAGTTAGTCGAAACTTCTACTCACGAATATGCTCAAATGTCAAAACCAAAGTTGGGGGATCAATTTGCTCATCACCGCAAAGTTGAGTGGCTGTTTATATTATTACAACTTCCCCCGTTGGACGTTGCATGTAGAATGTAGATTATCGGGCGGGACCCAGCAGCGCTTTCCCTGCAGTGTGACCGGACCGGACTTCCCAATCGGGGCGGGTCCCATTTCGTGGGCCCTGCCCGAGCCGGGCCCAATTGCTGTTTCGCCGGTTTCCGGACTCATTATTGCGTTGGCAATCGATGGGGGATCCAATGCAATAACATTCATATCCCACGGTTAGGGGTGTCAGTTCGGGTCGAGTTCGGTTACCCGAACCAAAATCGAAAACCACTAAAATCAAACTCGAACTCGAGAAGGACTTGCGGGTTTCGGTTACTCGAAATCCAAAAATTCCTTATCGGGTTCGGGTTCGGTTAAATCAAAACCGAAACCCCAAAACCCGAACGTCTAAGAATACGGGTTGAGTTCTATTCATTGGAGGTTTTTAGCCGGAACCCAAAAAACTGATAAGCAAAACCGAACCCAAAACCGAAAAATCCGAAACCCGAAACAAACCTGAACCCAAAAAACCGAAAATGTATATAATCGAGTCGGTTTTGGGTAAACCCGAAAAACCTAACCCGAATGGACACCCCTACCCACGGTAAGAGGTTTTAGGGTGTAACTTGTTAGCATATGGTCGGCTTCGTTTAGAATTATCCCCGCCTGGCAGTACTGTTCCCGCCTCGTTCAATAATGGCAACAACTGGGATTCCGCAATTTGATTTGCGAAATCGCTGCGAACTTGCCATATACTCTCGGTTCGATCTTTGTTGGTAATTTTTTTCAATGAATTTTGTTGTTAGTAAGATGTATATATGTGGTGTGGCTTGTTGTGCCAGGCATTTACTTGAGTGATTGATCTACCATATAAAAACTCGAATAGTAAAGTATCTTGAGCACGTAAGATTGAGCATTAACTCAATTATATGGTAATCTTCCAAAAAAGTTTGCCGTCTATAAAAAAAGATCAAAACTAGACTTGAATATGGATTTTATTATTAGATCAGATCACCTACAAAAATTCACCTTTGTTATGACATTACATGAGATGAGGATCCTTAATGTAGGCCAACAAAGATCATATTAGCCGAACTAGAATCTGCAGATCTCTTGTGACATCTAAACGTTCCATAAATTCGGTCCCTAACAATCAAAATCAAAATTTGTACACCCATTACATATTCCCTCGAAATTGAACCAATGACGATGATCGATTGGACAAGCACTTCCCCAATATTATTGGAGCCTGTAGCTTTCTTTGTAGTTTTGTATTATTATATGATATTTTGTATGTGTGGGCAGTAAAAGTAGAGTAACGCCAAAACATTATTGGACATCCACTCGATATGTCGTTATTTCATTATAATTCTGCCTACCCATTTTAAACATTTATGCAGAAATAAATAAATAATAATGAGAATAGAAAAAAGATGCCACGTACGGGAAAGCCAGCCTTTTCAGAAATCCTTACAAAAAACACAGAGAATTGTATAGCCTTACGTTAACATTGCAATTATTATGGTCTTAATTAAGGTTGTCCTTGAAACTATTATCTATCTAATTCATGGAGAAAGGAAGAAGCAGCAGAATCAGAATCAGAATCCGAGGTGGCGGCCGGAGATCCAACCACCGCCGCCATGTGCCCAGACACAAGATTCCAAATCGTGGTTAATTAAATATTAATTAATAAAAGTACACATTAAACCACCCTTCATTCGTACTTATGATGTCGTGTGTTCTACAGTAGGTGTCTTGATAGTCGCTGGGTTTAGCTGTTAGGTACTGTTAATTATCTCGAGATTAATATTAATAAATTCGCCATATATATATATATTGATTATTGCAAAGCTGGACGTGTGTGAACTCAGGTAGATTAGCAAGTATCAACCGTTCACGGGACCCCACTCTGGGAGACAGACGTACATTCCCACCTTCATCAGCCGGCGCGTGTAGTTCGCTCTCTCCTCCGCCGGACCACTAGAACCGGTAGGCCGGTAAGATCTCTCGCCTACGGAACAACAATTTTCGCCATTTTGCACCAAGAGATATAGCATAACTCGTGCTTAAATTATTAGTATAGATTTCGGCTTGATGGGTTCTTTTACGAAACCTACGAGTTAGTGAATGTATTTATACAATATACAGGGTCAATTCAATTCAACCTATATTTATTCTCTTTCCCGTTTGTTCTATTGTACCCTGAATGAAAGTTGTTATCCTAATAACATATAGCGTGTTAGCAACCTATTATAATCCAAATATTAATTAACGAGGCTCTACTTCAAAATCAGTATGCGACTCTATTCTCTTCGCGGTATGTATTATCTAGGACTGAAATCAGCCTCTCTCTCCTACCCTTAATCCTTTCTAACCCGCTCTCGAATGATCAACTTATATAACTGCCCCGCCCCACATGTTTCCTTCTTGAACAAGCATACCTCCAATGGACGGCTACATTACATAGTTACCAATTAGGACAGTGTGCAATATGAATAGTTGTCATCCGTCGTCGTCCAAGTGGCAAAAGGACAGTGTGCAAAAGAGAGTCACAATCAGAGGAAAAAGAGGAGAGGAGAAAGGAACGTGAATGTAGTTTTGCACATAGATGAGAGAATTCAAGCAACCAATTAGCCCACATATGCACCGCAAGCTTCCAAACCGCCACAGTCGAACGAGAATTTGGAGTGGTGGGTGCAATGTATATGGGACGATTGATTCATTCCCAATTATGTCCATCCATCCACCACTAGCCTTTACATTTATTTGGACTGATATAATAATAGAAAAGATTTCTAGCTAGGGTTTAGTTCAGAGATGGTCTTGCGATATCGTTGAAAATCAAACGAGGCGTGTTAGGTAGGATATAGAGATGAAGACAATTCTCTTGGTCCATACTTTCATATGTTAACTCGATACAAAGTGAAATCATGAGCGGTAAAATAAACGCAGAGGGACAGAAGATTTAGAGAATTTAACGTATGACTAGTGGTTGAGTAGTTGATGTATGTTGACCTACCAAGGATTAGAGATTAAAGAGTCTTTATATAGACTAAGAATTGTGCCTTGGGCTTCGACTCCCATGGGTTCTCTTCGTATAGATGTTATTTGGGTTTTAGGAAACTCATGTTGACGACCTTTAACATGAAGACATATGATATCTGTAAGCCAATGGCATCCATCGAGTAAGCTTCTATTAATAAATGAAGTCATAATCAATATGATGTTTGTGTGTTCTGGGAATAAAACAAAGAAGACAAAGAGTGGGAGTGAGTGTCATTATCTCATAATGTTAATGACTATGTTTAGTGTATCTCCACAAATCCTTCATCATCAAGTTTTGGTTCATTTTTTCTTCTTTATCCCCTTTGTTTTCTGTTGGGTGAGGATTGGTGAAACGGTTTTCAATTTATGTATTATTAGTTTAGTTCACCAATTAAACATCAAGGAGGAAACTTAGTGGCCATAATAAGAGCCTCTAAGTCATTCAAACCACATAAAGATGTGACCCACAATTGATCTAGTTAGTATAAACCAAATATATATGCCTATGGAATTATTGTATCCGAGCAACAAAGTGATTTATAAATTGATCTATGTTTCGGTTTAATTTTTCATTTATCGAATATGATCAAGAAGAAAAGGATTGAAATAAATAAATGTCAAAACCAACTTGAATCGAATAAAAATACTTTTACTTCGAATAATTCATCGTCTCTCTTTCATTATGGTTATATCGACTTAATTTTATGTTTGACGATTAATAATATTATATCACCATTATAAAAAAATGTACATTTGAATAAATCATTTCAATTTAGTAATTTACAACTAGTCTACAAACACATATAATCTAGTTAACCGACCAACTAGTTAACCGATTTGTTAATTAGAGATTCCTCAGGTTAATAATGAAATCTTAATGATATGGATTAGTATAGTGCCAAAGGGTCATCAGCATCTCATATTCATATTAGCCTTTCAACCCCACCAAAGTTTGTGGTGCATGGTCTACAACCCACATACACAATTAACAATACAATCAATCATTCATCATCTCATTTCTTTAAACAATTAGCCACTGCATTAAACATTAACAAACCATGATCAATCAGTGAACCCATTTACCATATAACACTAACCCTCAAACCCCAATTTATTCTGGTAAAAAGTGACACCATTTATACTATGCAGATACCCAAACCTTTAAAGGGATCGGATGCTTGTTTCAACCATACAGTTCAATCAAGAGCCTGCCTTACCAATAAATTTTGCTCATGATGATAACTTATGAAAATTTTATTTGAAATATATCGTACCAATCTCACGTCTTGCCGCGTCTGACCCACCTTTATATTGGTTTTGGTTAGGGATGGAAATTGGGGTGGGTGTGGTTACCCGCCCCACATTTTACGGGTAACCACACCCACAAATATAGAATTATGCTACCCACAATCCGCCCCGCAGTGGGTAGTGGTTAACCACTACCCGTTGCGGGTTGGTTGTGGATACCCACAAAAATTTCACATTAAATATAATAATATTGTAATTAAATAGTGATGTTGTATTTCTTCTCACACAAAAACAAAAACATACATAAAAGAAAGTTAATAAAGTGTAAAATAAATTATAAATCTCGAATACAATAGGTTAGTTAGTGTAAATTCAGAAGTGATGGATTTGGAAAGATTTTTTAAATAACGGAGAGGCAGAGTGATATGTTACCAGACTAACATCGTTGCATGTCACGACTCCTCCGAGGCAACAACAGCAAAACACAAAATGACTCGATAAGTGGAGGCGTCCGCTTTTAATGAATCTATTATTCTCCACTCTCGATTATAGTCTTGTGTTGTTGGTAGTTGGTTGCATGTTGTGTTGTTCGTGAGTTCGTGGAGAAATGGAGATGAGTTTGGGTATCTGACTAACCTTTATCTATTATTCCCCTCTTTTAACAAATCGATTAATTTATCTGACTATATCTATGGACTTGGTTTTGTTATAAAATAAACATATAACACAGAGACAATGCTTATTTAATAATAGTATTTCACATGAAAATTGTGTATTGACTTGGTTTTGTTCTATAGAATAAGTGCATATTTGATTTTGGTCGCTACTTTAATTCTTAGTCTTCCAAGTTTCACAAACTAATATAACTAATGTGGTTAATGTGAGTTTTGTGGGTAAACCGCTGTGGGTAAACCGCTGTGGGTAGTGGTTAATCACTAACCACAAAAATCAGTATTTTGCTACCCACACCCAACCCACTATCCACAAATTGTGGGTATGGGTATCCACAAAATGTGCGGTTTGGTGCGGTTTGCGGGTTACCTGCAACCCGCAAACCAAACTTAGGTAACCCGCAAACCAAACTTCCACCCCTAGTTTTGGTGTATGATTCCTCTAGGTAGCTAACTCAACCAACATATATCTTTGATTATGATCTTCTTCTTCCTTATTGCTAGCTAATTAATTAGAGGTTTATAGTAAAGAGGGAATCTCTGCCCTTCCCCTCAAAGGACAGGCATCACTGTCAGGTTCCCTGCACCAGCTCCCATCTCCAACCAATGAGGGAATAGCACCACCACCCATCATCACCCTCTCCCCTCACTCTAGGCCTAGGTTGGTTGTGCATATATGTTCTGCATCAATGGATCTCATTTCTTCTTGTCTGACCATATTTGTTAATTGTTTGGTTTAAACAAGTGTTTTAGGTTTGGTTATTGGAAGAAGGTATAAGGCTAGCTAGTAGTTGGGGAATATGCCAATCAGCTGCCACCCCTAATTCTCTATGGTATCTATTCAAACTTCAAAGTTGCAGAGTTCTTGGTAGTTATCAAAATATTTGGAAAATGTAGTCGAAAACAAGGCGGAAATTAGTTCGGATTTTTCTCGCATTATTATTCCATGACGGTATTTGTTTCCTTTTTTTTTCGTGTAGGTGTATATAGTCAATTAGCATATGTTAACCTTCCTGCAAGTATGACGGATGGGGAAAAAATCCTTATTATTGTTGGAATGAAGTCTTAATGAAATATTAACGAATGCCGAATATTACACATATAGATTATTTAAAATTCATGTATTCTAGAACCCTGTAGTTTATCAATCCATCCAAATTGTTCCTCGATACCCCCACCAAATATAAAAGAATCTAGATCTTTGCCCCCTAATCCTTTCCCTTTCTTTGTTTAATGTTGTTGTGGGGATAGGTGTGAAGTCATTATCCAGTCGGGAACCCTAGTTTGGCAAGTGATACTCAAGGTCATAAAGTAATTAACTATGAACTAATCTCGAATATCCCCCCATTATTACTTATAATTTGTCTCACTCAATCCCCCTTCTCATTTCAACTGTAGTGACATGTAAGTACAAGAATGAAGTGATATGGCCCACTCCTGAAGTTATAATGGTGATCATGAAGTTGAATTGAAGGCCCATTTTTCTCTAGAAATTTCGATAAATTTGTGGTTGTTAAGCGGAGAGAAGGCTGAAAAGGATAACTCATTTCATACGTCAACATATTTGGCAACGATTGAGTTATGTGCAGTTTAGGAAGCTCTCTCTTAATGCTCGATTCAAAGTTATAATGTGTATATCATATGTTGAGATAACACTTACAAACGGTAGGATAATGGATGTTATCCTCATTCTAAGCCGTATAGTTTATATATTTAGCTCCTTCTTACTCTAAATTCTGGCTCTACCGCTGATATTTGGGTTTATGTAGAAGTGGCAATTGGATCGGATTCGTGGATTGGATTGGTGGATCCATGGATCAAATCGATTGGATCCAATGGATTGGTGGATTCATGGATTGGATCAAATGGATTGGTGGATTGATCCATGAATCCAAATGACATCAAAGGCTTGGACCAAAATGTAAAATTTGAAAAGTTTTGGTACTAAAATGTCATAATGAAAATTTTTAGGTACCAAAATGTAAATTTCCAATGATATTTTTCGTATAAAAATATAAATTTTAGGTACCAAAATATAAAATATAAAAAATATAGGTACCAAATCGTAGTTTGTCATTTGGATCCATGGATTGATCCATGAATCCACCAATCCAATTGGATTTGGATCAAATGGATTGGATTTAAATGGATTGGATTATGTGAATAATTTGGTGGATGGATTGGATTCATGGAATTGGATCCTAGTTGCCACGGTTTATGGGTCTTATGGTTTTGCGCTTGATAGTGGGATGAGCCGAATAGACTTTGATTTGTTTTATTGATGTGATCGTAATCTCTTGTTTGCTATGCTCTTCCACGTAATATTCGAATTGATTACCCATTTTGAAGTCGAAAGCTTGATTTCGTCACCTTAATTATTTGTGGCTTCTAACCACTGAAATGAAACATGGCTGTTGGGATATTGTCATTGGTCTTTTCGATTACAGAAAATTATTGGTGGATGGGCCAGGGCACATGCTGTCTTTCAATCAACCGGCCCAAAGTAAAGTTCTGGCTAAAATGATTCCACATAGGAGGCCGGCCCAAGGAAGAAACATAAATGGGGGAAATTGTGGTTAAGGGAGAAAGTTGTCCAAATTTTCAACACTAGCATTATTATCCCAGCAATCAATATGGTGTATGGATTATCTTATCGTACCATATCGGCAGATCGAATCGGACTCTAAATACTGTTTATGCGAGCTAGATCAGTATAACACACGAATAATGTTGGGACTTGGAATATAGATATTAATATATCTATAACGATAAACTTCTACGTCATCAACGAGGCTAAACCCATCGCAAAGCTTCTCACTTATGACACAATGCCGCTGCGAAGTATCTCAGCGAGACTCTTAAGACATAATCCCACTCCAAGACTTCTCAACAAGGAAGCTCGCAGCTCCTGTATAAAGACTCTTAAGTCTTAACCGCTTCCACGCTAAGAGATATATCTTTCCTTTACGTATTCACCACACATGATCTCTCTCTAAAATCTATTTCTCTCTAGTTTACTTTCATCATCTCGAATCGTACTAATTTGGACATCATAGTGTATATCCCGGGGGCTACTCTTACCTCTCCCGATCTACTCTCGAAGAGGTCGAACGAAGATGTATGAACCAGATGACCTCATCATTAAATTTTTTTACAAGGTGTTAGGTTCCTCATCATTATTGTTATCGGTCTTTCCTCCCAATACATGTAAAAACAAATACTATGAAAATTCGTGTCAGTCAGCTTTATATAGTTAGAGTAACAACTACCAATAAATTTTGGTTGATCGTACGTTGAACTAGTATAACATTTGTAGAACCACATTCATACCATCAAGATATTATTCTGCTAACTTGTGTAATTCAATTTATAATACAATTTCACAGACCATGATATCGTGAAGGACAATTGGTTCAAGTGAAGAGCTTTTTTATCATATGAGAAGAGTTGGTGTGTAGCCTGATTATAGGATTCCTTTTGGAAACAAAGAAACTTCCAACATTACTATACCATATTATGCGTGTCATCTTTGCGAAGGGTCATGTTAATATTCTCTGTATCGTTCCAATTTTATGAAACTATCATCTACCGCAATATTGGATGGTTCGGAAATTGGAATTGGCCAATTAGGCAAGTGATTTAGTGAATCACTTTACAGAACTAAAAACAAATGTTTGAGACAGCCCAAAATCAGTCATTTGGTTGGGCCGGGCCCAAAAATTGTTCGTGACAACTTCAGCTCTACTGGTGGATACTCCTGTGCTTGACAACACTACGCAATTTAGCTTTCTGCCTTTCCATTCTAGCTTGGGATCCCTTAGCCTTTGATGTGATAAATTTCCTGGATCCTCGTGGCCACTCAACCCTGCCTTTGATCCCTCTAGTAATGTGAGGGTTCATGAGTTCATTTAAGTTCCATTCACCTACACAACCTTGGTCTCGAAATCCATCGACAGCAGGAGCATCTGGTCGCACTAAAGGCACCTCCTGAACCGTTCGTTCGACCTGATCATCACACACCAGCATGTTAGCATGATGCTCGCTCTCCTCGAGGGAGCAATTCGAGCCCTTGCTGCTCGTGTCGTGTCTCGAATCAAATCCATTGGTGAGGCTAACAGTTCGATCATTGCAAGCTTGAGTAACCCCAACCTTGCCTCCAACTCCTCCAATTTCCTCGAGTACTGTGTACAAGTCACGCGATGCATGAGGCTCGTGAACGAATTCATCATCTTCACTCACATTACTCTGCAACCTCTTGGCTACTTCCTTGACCTCTTCTGATCGGCTTGGCTCAATTGCATCTATGGAGGTAGCACTCCCTGACATTAGCAAAGCATCGAGTTGGGAAATCAAGGTCAGCATTTCATCGTATTTACTTTCAAGTGCGAATTTTGCATCGTTTAGCTTCATTTGAACCCTTTCTTCACGCCACAATTCAACCATTTGCATCATCCTCCTCTCTTCCTCAATCTCGGCCTCGAATCTAATTGAATCCCTCCGTAATTCCTCAAATTCTTCTTTCTGTTCCCCGACTCTCGTAGCTAGCTCGCTACAAACCACCTCGACGACCTCTCTGGACTTCTTCTCCTTCCAATAAACCTTTCTAAATCGTTCTGCACGCGATCTCACATCGCTCAACTCTTCGACCAATCTCGCATTCAGGACCTCCATCTTCTTCCTACTCTTCCTCTCCCTCCCCAACTCGTCTTTTAGACCTTCAAAAACTGCACGAAGTTTGTTCTCCTCCTTGGCTCGCCACATCCTCCTCTCCTCTTCGAGCTCTCGAAACAAATGACCAACTCTCTTCCTATAGCCACGGCGCTCGGATTCAAGCTCGTTGATCCGGAATCGAGCATGAGAAAGCCGAGACTGCAATGCCGAAGCATGTGAAATTTGAAGCGGCTCATCGTGTTGCTGGTCAATAATTTTCAACCTAGCGTAAAAGCAATGGGCCTCATTGTACAAAGTAGCAATGTCTCGTTTCGCCATCGCCTTCCTCCAACTCTGAAGACACTCACACACCCATATGTACAAGCAATCAGTTCATTTGTCCCAACAATTCGAGCTATCACACTTTACGAAACTACGAAACAAATTGAATGGTGAGTGGGCCCTAATGAGTATGAAATACATGGAGAAAGCAAGAGACAGAGACAAGAGGGGGAGAGTGTACCTTGTCACGTAGGACACCATGCCTTAAATCTGAAGAAACGTGAGGCCGAAGGAGTCCATCATCCTTGTTATCTTCGTGGTATCCTGCGGTCGTGCCACTTCCACAAGGTGCAGGGCACATGCTTGGCTGCCGTGCAGAACAATTAAATGTGTCTAATTTCAGTAACATTTTCACGTCATGTCCCATACCTCAATTGTTATTACTTCTTCATGCCATACATTGGATAACTTAGACTCAACCTACAACGATGACGTGCATTTCTATTCCGAATTTCTAACCACACAATCATCCAATTGCGAGTTATGCAATTCACAATCGTTGAATGCACGTTGGGTACTAACTATCTACTAAATTACTATCATATATGTTCATCCAACGTGTCGTGAATCGTGTGATGCCCAATCCGACAAATACAAATAACAATAGGATGTTCGAACGCTAATGCCACCATCTGCACGATAACCGCACCAATAACGAATTCTTATGTTTCATTCTTGCAAAACTATACTATTTGGTTCTCTTAAGTTTCAAGTCAACAAATTAGAGTGGCACAGCGGAAGCGTGGTGGGCCCATAACCCACAGGTCCCTGGATCGAAACCAGGCTTTGATACAAAACCTTTTTTTTTTTTTTCAATCGTTGTAACAAACTTGAATAACCTAAGAGCCTAAGACAAACAAGCACATACTTTAACTTTTTGCTCAGAACAATGGACATACCTGGATTCCTACTACATCACCGCATGATCCACGTTCAGGCTTCAGGCGAGCAACCTTGCCGCCGCCGGCGGCCGACTGCAGCTGCCACAAGCCCGCGGCGAGCTTCCTCGCCGAAGCCACCTTGGCCCCTCCATTGTTGTTACGGCGAGGAGAATCGAAGAACAACTTCCAGTGAAGGGGAGGAGTAGAGGGCGGGTGAGCATACTTCCGGCGGCGGCGGCGGGAGGAGATTGGAGAATGCGGCGGAGCGAGGAGGCGGTGGAAGCTCATCATGATCTGGCAGGCGGTGGCGCCATGGAGAGATGGGAATTATAGGAAGCAGAGGAAGGGTTGAGAGAGGGAAAACAGGGGAAAGGAAACAAAACAGGCTCCAGTTACGGAGGATTTGACGGGTGGGGTTTATAACGCGTGCCTTCTTTTTATGTATGCCAAAACATTTTCCCACCCCCACCACTAAACTCTGCAATTTCAGCTCTTTTTTTGGGGGGTTTGTTCGAGATTCGTTTTTTTTTTAAGTGTTAATTAGCAAATTGATTGGTGAAGATTCGATGTTTTAATGCTGAATTGATTGGATGATTTTGGGTAAATGGATGGTAATTTTGTGGTAGATTATCGTCTTTCTAAAGGGCATTCTCTTTCGATAGGTGAATAGAACTTTTTATGTATCTTCAAGGTTAATTAATATTGGTTTTGATCGTATTGGTGGCATGTCAAACATGCTGGATAAAATATCTGGATTGGTTTATCAGACAAAAAAAAAACTCTTATATATTGTCCCAATTTTAAAAAAGCCAACAACTCAATCCAATCCCTAATTATCTTCTGATTCTCAATTATCTCAAAATTCTCTTATTCACGAACCCTAGACGTACACACCTAAGTCCGGACTTCTATCAACTTCACTTGAAATGATTCGAATACATGTATATGATTATTCTATTGTAGTATTATTTCGATATTGTTGGACTATAAATTCGTCGTTATCACATGTTTAATAGCGTGCTGGTTATGTTGCAATCAATCATGGGCCTCACAATATTGTACTAATTAAGTGTCACAAGTTGGGGTTGTCCTTTCTTCTAGGTTTGATATAGCTAGCCATGATCTTGCCGATTGGGGTGGAGAGGGTGAGTGGTAAAAGAGAAGAAGAGATAAAGGGGTGAATTCTCCGGCGACAATGATTCCATCTTCGGGAAACATATTATTATTTTCCCGGCCGGCCGGCCGGCAATCATTGTTAAGTAGATAGGACGATTGATTACTTAGTTGAGGTGTTATTATTGCAACCACCATTCGAGTAGGTTGGCAACTTCCTTTTTATTTTTTTTATAATAAACTAATAATCAACCGACTATACAAAACCGCAAAAGATGATAGGATACAATTAAGATTAGGAATGATAATGCCATCAAGGTAAGGCATACAATTCCGTTACTAAGCTTAAAAAAAATTATAACACAAGAAATTTGGAATGTGGTAATTGAGAGCTGAAATTTTACCGTTTGTCCTATTTTTTTTTAATTTTGTTACAAATTTTATATGTAATTTTATATTCTATTTCAAAGTCGAGTGCCCGAAGGTTATTATGATCCCTCTACCTTCAACCTACATCCGCTACTCGTAGATATTTTGATACTCGTATTTGTCGCTCGTGTGATGAGGATAACAATGGTGGGTTGATTTGGAGAGCACTTCTACTATGCTATAAAGCATGAGTGCTTAAATGTACAACTTAAAGTTGTATCATAACATAAAATGTATAAGTTTGGGTTGTACCATAAAGGAATTTGCACCCTTATGATATGGTACAACTTCATAACTTTAAATTGTTCCATCACGTAAAGGTACAAGTTCAAGTTGTACCATAAAAGAATTTGTAAAATAGTATAGGTACAAGCTAAAGTTATACCGTTAAAGGTACAACTTGAAATTGTACTATAAAAGCAAAAAACTATAGCACTAATAATTTGTCTGATTTGGAATAGCTCAATGCATTCGGTTCAAATAAAAAAAAATACGAAAAGGTCAGCTCTTGCTTAAGAATATTGAGAAACAACACTTCCAAAAGTGAAGAGTAAACCAACCGCTTTGGTTGGTAGCTCCCTCATCTACTTCTTTGGGCCCGAAGAGAAGACAAAGATACTTCTTTGATGCCTCCTTGATGCCGGCTCTGCCATATCGACAAATCTAAAGCCCCTGGGCTCAAGGAGGAGCCCACATTCTAGTTGGGCCTAAGTAAACAGAGGCAGTCCCTTAATTACCCTTGCTCTTCCTGATAAACGTTTTTGTTTTAGTAAACATTATTAATCGATATGATTACTGACCATCTAGAAAATTAGTTTTTTTTTTTATAATGTAATGGGTGTATAGCTTATTGTTGTATAGTTTTTTTTAAGAAACACGTGATAAAAATAGTGAATTTTAGTAGGAAAGAGACATGAGTGATGCAACGAATCAAAAATTAGCCTTATGAACCAAAATCAAGTACCTGTTACCTTGTGAAACAATATTGTTTCTGGTAATATGATTAGGTGGAGTAAGTTTTATAGAAATCGAATTCCATAAAATTGAATAAAAAATCGCCTATCCCGCCGGTTTTCGGGAAATGAGCACCTCACAATCGTTGCTAGCTTTTACTCGGCCCATTGGCCGATTAATTTTCTTTATAAAACTTTCATTTTGTCATCATTGTGCTTTCTGGTTTTTTGCCAAGCCATGATAAAATCTAAAGAATCAAGAATGAACAACGCGATTTGGGATAGGAACCACCGTTCCTGTATCCCTAGAAATGGTGGTAAACACGGACTCACCTGCCAAACTGGTTTGGATTGAGATTTTTATCGGGTAACAGGGAACCATGTGATTATAAATTAGACTTGATCAAAACGGGCCAAAACTTGAAATTCAATCTGTTTGACCGACTCATGCCAAACTCTAATTATTCTTTACTTTTAAACTTTCTATTTGAAAATAAAAAATAATGAAAGAAAAGAGATGACTGCAATTCGCCATTTGCACATCACTGATTCGGGAGTAAAACTATAGAATTTCGAAAGGAAACTGAAAACGTTTAGGATCGTTTTAATGTTAAAAATAACCAAATAGATCTTTCTGTTTAGTTTTTTACTAACAAATACCAAACGATTCCCTATAATATACACTATAATTTAATCATTATGATATCAAATAATTACATAATATATATTTGAAATGATAAAAATTGGATTAATTGGGTTGGTCGAGGTTGAACCATTGAATAACTTTAAAATACATTATATTTTAGCCACTAAGATATAAAATAATAGCATAATATATATTATGCTAGAGAAAATAGCTTATTTTAGAATGACAAACCCATGATGATCATTTATTTTACTTGATGGGAAAATCCCGTGTAGGTCAGACTCATTCAACTCTTTTATTTTATGATTAGCAGTTAGCCCATTAGAATCCATGCATTAGTTTATTGTTAATTTTTTTCTTTTTAGCAATAAAAAGGAGTATTGTTTTTTTTTCTTTTTCATATATATTTTACCACCACGGAGAAATAAAAGGACTCAAAGAAAAAAATTGACACTCCTGGACCCGTTTAAATATGCATGTGTACGGTAAGTTGGCCCGTTCCACAGAGGAAAAAGAAAAAAATTGACACTCCCTATTCTACCCTTTCTACAAACGCTCCTGGAGCAGGGAATTTGAAATGGGGGAAGGTTTTTTTCCACTCTGCGATTATATGTTAAAATTTTAAAAAGATACAATAAATGTACTTAATGTGATTGGTTATGATCTTTGTTTTTCTTTAAAGTGGTCATGGTTCGAATCCTAGTAAGTGTCTTTTTAATGGATTAAAAAAAGTAATTGTGAAGATCAAATGTCCTTACTACTTTCACTTTGGATACAGAAAATTTGAAATGAGACTTCAAGTTTTCTCATTTGGCTTTTATTTATTGTGTAGATATACTTTCTCCATTGAAGAAACCGGCTCTTATATATTTAATCTCAAGCTTACGTTAAAAAGATAAACATGTACTTCAAGGTACTTTGTTATTAATCTGGATATATATGGACTGACTATGGTTGATTGACCAGCTCTCTTCATAGTCATAATGAGTGACTAATGACCAGCCGTTTTCAATGGGCAAATACAAAGAAGATTAATTTGTTTGGGCATGCAATGCAATTAGTGCATGCATGGAAAACGTTACGTGTAAAATATTTGACTCTTTTTTCTTTGATTTTACGGATAAGGATGATTATTATATTGATTGTATGCATTTATATGGCGTACGTAAGTATTTACTCATATTCCTGAAAGAACCTCGTTCAACGACACAACCGATCTAGTATAAAATTAATTTGGCAAAATTGAAGAGTTCATACTTCACAATCAGAATTTCAATCAAACACGGGAAAAACATACATATAGGGTAGTCCTCAAATAGGTATTAAATGTCAAAGTATATCGAGTGTGGGTATATGTAATGAAATCGAGTTTGTGGTTTGATACTAATACTATATTCTTATTTTTAATGGATAAACCTCAGCTTCCGATATCCTTTAAATACAAACCCAAAGTTCAAGTTAATAAAAAACAATAATGAGCGATTCTAATTTACTGAAGTACAACGTAATATATCCATTGATCAAATAACTCGAAGTATAATATATTCTAGAAGTACACCAATTGTTAAAATATGCATATTTTTACCGTATAATATTTTATTTTGTGGACTGTGGAGCTGCTGAGAAAGGATTGGTGCTGATGATCATGACAGTTTCATTAACATAAAGCACACGACCATAGCTAGTTGATTTTGTTTTAGGGAGGAATCACGATCCCGTGCTTTGTGTTTTGCGACAAATTTGAGTATAATTCGAGACTGATTAATTTGCTCTTGACATAGTAGTGTGAGTAATAAATGTATATTGGTTGACGATTTGTGCTTACGTCTGGATAATTTCAATGTTATTGTGATTTGTGATCACGAATTAAAACTATGATAGGCTACGTGAGGATTATAAATCACACATAATAATTAAAAAAATTCCAGTACGTATTTATACTTATCGTAGTGTATTTCTCATATCGACGAAAAAACAATTCCATCTTTTAACACTTGGAAGGTTTTGGTTATCAGAAGATGAGAACCTATACTACATGAACTTGAAATGATGCTTGTAAAGGCTCTTTCTTACGCATACATACATACATATACACCTACAATCTCAATAGTCTCAACGAAAACTTGAGATTGAACTATCACTCATTTTGAGTGATAGTTTGCGTCGAATCAAGCAAACAATGCATGTATTGTTTGCGCAGAAAATTAAAAAAAAAAACGATACATTGTGAACATTGCATGCATTGTAACTATCCCAACCAAACTATCACCAAAAGCAAACCACTCTTATAGTAATTAGTACCTAGAATAGGTAGATCTCACATATTATTATTATTTCCTTATTGTGCAAGTGGGATTTTTGGACCCCTCATAATTAAAAGCTCTACCCAAGTAGCTAGCTGAAATGGGGGGCCAATGCCCTAAACGTTGAAAGCTTGAATTTCACAAATGAATTCACGACCAGGAAATTGTACGCCAAACACGACCAAGCGGATAGAGTTTTGTCTTGATGAGAAACCCCATAATTAACTCTCAGAGTTGAAGTACTCCACGTCAACAATTCAATTATATTGATTAATTAACATATATAATAATTTAATAATATAAATGAAATGGCTGCTTACGACACATCACCACTTGTTCTATTCAACCACCTGTACTGCTTGACTGGACTACGTCGCCTGCGGCCTCCACAACTTTAATCTCACTTGATTGGCCTCATCAACGATTCCTAATCACAATTAATTCATAAATAATGACATTTCTAGGTCTGAAATGGGTCGTTATATAATTATATATATGCTCAGGTTCCCACCTCCAATATTGGTCCAAAAGATGCTCTCTATTCATTCAGTTCATATTAACCTAAAGCACTTCTCTCAGTCTCTCTTCCCAGAAAAAAGAAAAGAAAGTTTGGTACGTAGGGCTTCTTTCTTTTTGGCTTTCTAGCTAACTTAATCGGTTTAATTAATCTGAAAGAAGTCCTAATCTAAAAATAAGATTAAATGGATCATTAGACGATTATAGAGTTAGACCCACCTGCTCCCTTTATGTTTTCCCCGCCCTGAAAATTCTTACTTAATAATTAAATCCAGCCGCCACCTGTCCCGCCGTCGTCACCGACAAAAAAAAAACCATGGGTGCGCCGGCGTCGCCAACTACACTATGTCTGTCGATCTCCATATATAGAAGTTCGATAAGTAAGATATAAGTTTTTGAATGATATGTCGAAACCAATTTATTGTTGGAATCTGAGCTCGACGGATTGAAATACCATAAAAGGAAAGGGAGCGTACTGATCGAGGATCGAGTCTCGGATCTCATGTCTCTTCTGATGCCAGCATCTCGTTGCCAATAGATCTTCTATGTTTTAACTCAGAATGTGATGATCATTTTCTAAGATAAAATCTCGACTCGAGAGGGTTCTAACTCGAAATCTCCCACTAACGTGTAGTGACATTTGTGAATTACGAGTGATGCGTATATTCATATGAATCGATACAAGAAAAAGTATGTGGGAGACACACACTTGCCCTACACACGTATAGGGGTGGCTATACGGTCCGGTCCGGTTAAATTGGACCAAATTGATCCGGTCCCAGTCCGCTCTTTTCGGGAATATAAGGACCAAAGATTGGATTGGATACAATCCGGTCTTGACCCGGTCCGGTCCCAATTTTATCTTGATTTTAGGTGTTGGGGGTCTCTTATCTGGTCTTTATCCGATTTTTTTTTTACCTCAAATCTAAGCCGGAATATGAGATTGCATTGTTTGCTATCCGGTCCCAGTCCGATCTCGGTCCGAGTTATACGGTCCGGTTTCGGGTAAAACCAAATAGTCCGGGACCAAATAGCCAGCCCTACACATATGCCTTTCGGCCGACGGTTTCAGATAAAGGGACGACGTACGTGGAAAATGGAATCGTATAGATATGATGCACCTGCCTGCCTGATCTCAAATGTTTTGCTTTACACTTCGTTTTGGCTGGTCAGCTAGCTAAAAGAGAAGCTCTCGTCGTTCACATGCAACTTTCTTCAAAAATGTTCATAGTTTTCTCCATTTTGATTTTTGATAATGGCGGAAGTGCATAAATGGCAACCCAACTTAGAGATCACTACTATTAAGTCACTCAACTTTTCTCTTTTAGCATGGAGGTTCGAAATAACTAGCATCATGTTGAAGTGTATATAGGGTTACTTTTATCATGTCAAAGTGTAATCTCAATTATTTTGTGTGATGGTGTCCAATGTATGATATATATACCTCATATTGCATACAAGACTGATAAAAGTAAACAACTTATAATATGGATTACCATATGCAATTGTTGCTAAAATTTAAGTATCAGACCGAAATGGAGAAATGATTCTTATATATTAATGTCTATTCAATTAGTAGGAGGTCTTTCGAGAAGGTGTTCAAAGAACAAATTTGTACATATTTTGCACCAAATTAACATAGATTATCATACCAATGCGAAGCATCCAAACTCAAAAGTAACCAATTATGTTAAGCATGATAATTTGTTTGGTTAATTAACCGACACAAAATATCTAATTAACTTGAACGGTATAACTCTTGAGAGAATCTCATACCGACTGTCATATCTTACCAACCTGAACCACCCCTGGTACAAGATAAACACCCCCACTCATAACTCGAACCAATTTCTACCAAACATTACCCCAAGATCTTTATTATGACCCTTTCCTCATCCGCTACCTAATTAAACAAGGTTTATAAGTTACATTCGACATTTTTCATTATCGATTATGTGAGTTGACACGATGACACGAGTAATTTAGATACAAAAATTCCAATTCAACAACCAATCTGTTACCAACCCAATAATATAGTGCCCATTCCTGTAATTATCCCTGTTTTTTTAACTGCTTGCCTTCTAAGACCCAGCCAGCCTCTCCTTACACGTGTCAACATCATTCACTGCCACGTACCCACACCTACCTTCCTCCGAAACCGCTAACCTTTATCCCACGGCGGCTTCTTCCTCCCTCCCAAAAATATAAATAGCGCCACTCCGCCCATCTTTTTAGCTCCGATTCATTATCTACGCCAACTTTTCCTCCGTTTTATAGGAATTAAAAAAAAAAATTCTCTAATGGGCAACTGCTGCAGGAAATCCGTATCGTCGACGGCGGTGTGGGCCGACGACGATTGGGAAACCCTCGGTGACCATCATAAGATGGTCCTGTTCGACGCCGACGCCGGCGAGGACCACCACGGCGTTGTCGGCGTCAGCGGAGGAGGAGAAGGCGATGACGACGATTCTTCTTCTTCTGACGACAAGGACCGGCTGCTGCCGCCGGCGGCGGCGGGGAGGGAGGTGAAGATAAAGGTGTCGAGGAGGGAGCTGGAGGAGCTGATGTCGAGAGTCGAGATGCAAGGCTTGTCGTCCGAACAGATTCTGGCGAGGCTGATCAGTTCCGCCGGCGCCGCCGGCTTGTTTGCCGACGAGGATGATCACCACCGGCACTGGAGGCCCGTGCTGCAGAGCATCCCGGAGGTCTAGCCAAAAAGATCCGATCTCTCTGTAATCTGTATCTCCCGATTTTGTGTAATTGAGTCCGATTTTGTTCCTTTGTACAGATTGTACATAATTGTGAATTTGTGATTAATCATAATATTTTTTTTCGATTGAGAGGTCTGTTTTTTTTGTATTTAAATCTGGACGGCTATTAATTTAGCGACCAGATTAAACATTCGATATAGGGAAAATCCGGGAATTCACTCGGTGAACTCTTATGTTCTACATAAGAGTTTGTAAGTAGTACACAATCAAATGGTTAACGGTCCATTTTTGAGCAACTTTTAAATCGCTTCAACATTATCGACCCAAATGTCTTATATGAAATGATTTGATGATATTTATGAACAAATGATCGTACAAAAATATTGTTAACCGTAATTTATTGGGACGAGTTTGGGATATCTAATGACTATATTACTCTCGAGTTTAGTTAGTGTTGGATTCCGACAGTGATGATTTATGGCATTAGGTTTGATTAGGTGAACAAATTGGTATTGTAGTTTTCTTCTTCGGCTCCGCAATTTGGAGTCATGTGGATGCTTTCCTCTTCTTGTCCTGGAGGAAGGAAAGTTCTTTCTTTCTACAGGCTGATTTGTTGAATATATAGTCAAAGCTGGTGTATAGTTTTAATTTAATGGTTCAATTTTATGTTCAATTTCCATTTTAAAATTCAAAACTATTTTTCCCCCCTTTTCTCTACTTAATTTGAACTTTCTTTTATAAAGAGTGATATTCAAAATCATAACGGGTCTAATCAATTCTTGTTTTGTTATTTGAAATTCAATATTCTTATTCTTTATGATTTCGATCTGATTTTATTTATTTATAAAAGAAGTCATAAGTTTATTTTCATGTTGAGTGCTATTTAATAAGTTCAACGACATTCGGTATAGTCTTGCACTAATTCGATCTTACATTACCTACACGTCCATTCAGTTTCATTAAGAAAGGTTGAACTCAAAATACTTCTTATAACTAAAGAAAGATGTATAACTGATGCAAGTTGCAATACAAGAACTTCGACGTGATAAGCAACCACATTATAGCTTAAGAAAAATCAGGGGTATATACAATATATTATACAACAAAAAAACCTTGAATAAAAAGTAACCAAATCTTTGAAAATACTAAATATTAGCCAAATTTTTTTATAACGTTGTCAAAAAAATTGTTGATTTGTTAACTTCAATAAACCATTAACGACATTCCATCCTCCACAATGGACTTTTAGTTTTTGATATATTAACACGCTCTTTCGTATATCCAACTCGATCATTCATTACACGATAACATTAAAATTCTTTGTAGAAACCATCAAGGCATGCTTTAAGGCGTCCCGAATTGTCAATGGCAAATCAATGGCTAAAATTTTGCAATATTATGAAAGGTTTGTCTATTAGTTAATATTTTTAATAATATGACTATATTTTTCAAAGTAAAAGGCTGCCTAATATTTTTTCCAAAGTTAAAAATTGGACTAATAAATTGTTTCATTATTTTTACTGCCTCACAAAAACTCTTGCAATTTAGGATCATGTTTGCCAGTTCGGCATCATCTAACGGAGGTTTTAATGAAAATTAGCAATTGGATAATATTTTATATTTTTAAATTTTGATCAATACTTTATCAAATTAAAAAAAAAATTGGTTAATCAATTGTATTTATTAAAAATCAAATATTACGCTTTGACAAAACAAACAAATAAATATAACCGCTATGACAAAAAAAAAACAAATATAACCGGACTATGTGGCCCGCATGTCCACATAATTGCCAGTCCGTTGGGTTGATAGAATGGGCCTAGTTCCTTTAATACATCGGCCCACAGTCCTGGCCCAAGTAGCCTATAACGGCCCCTTCTTGAAAGAATGGGGCTTCCTTAACTGCCCAACCAACAGGCACCAGCCAGCCATGCGAATTAAAATTCCCCAAACCAAACCCAACTTCAATGCCAGGTCAGCGCTGGCACGTGCCACACTCGCCTAACCCGCCGAAATTATTATTATTTTATAACAACAGTGGAGTAAGGGTTCGTTTGGAAGTTGCAATAGTTTTGTTGAGATTGTCATTATGCATGTATTGTTTACAATGCATCGTTTTTTTTGTTTTTTTAGCAGAAACAATACATGGATTGTTTCTGTGATGTGACAGAAACTATCACTCATTTTGAGTGATTGTTATATCTCAACTTTTAGTTGTGATTGTTGAGATAGTTGAGTTGAGATTTTTTTGTCTTAGTTTTTAGCTGATGCGACATACACAATCACACATACCAAACGTTGTATTCTACAATGCATCAAATTTGTCAATACATGTATAATATTATATATGCATTCTCAACGATAGATCTATTTAACAATAGCAACTTCCAAACGACACTAAGTGAAAGTAGTCAAAGTACTAATAAGAAACAGTCCACCCACAACAATTAAGGATCCATTTCCTACGCTAATTTGGAGCAAAACGAAAACCAATAAAAAGATTCTTGACTTGTTATTCACAAAAGTGTTTGTGCTCATTGTAATTATATCATGCACTACAGTATCGATTTCAATGAGTAACTAAACAATATATATAATTTACAGCATTCATAGCTATCAGTCAATATCTTAATTTATTTGCAAATTTTACAGTTTTGAGTTACATGTGATGATCAATTAGCATTCCTACCGATTATCCACCATATATGTGACTAGGAGGAGCGTTAGCTGTCCAAATTTCGACTCTCATATGTCATGTGTCCTAAACTAGCTCGAGTTGCTTGGAGTGCAGTTCGATCATATCTCTGTAGTAGTGATTTAATACGTTTTTCAAATTTATTGTCTAATTTCTTTATAAGCGAGCCAGCTTACAATCTCTGTGCATTCCTCCTTTAAAGATAGACCTTAAACTCAGGAGTACATTTTACCATATGCCTAATTAACACCGTGAAATATGCTTTCTTTGGCATTCATGTTTAGCTGGGAAACTGAGGGAAATGGGAAGGGAGTAATGGCGGGTGGCGTTCTATTAAATGCAATGGAGCAGTGGAGTGATTATGAATTCATTCTTCCCACCATTTATCATTATTACGTTACGTAGCAGGAAAAAGAGAAAAGACTAATGGGAAAATGGGAAGTGGGTAAAAATTTCATGCTTTGGTTTGATGAAATATTGAAATAGTACAGATTATAGACTAAGAAAAGAAGAAGAAAAGGGAAATTACTGCTGTGGCAGTCCCCTACCCTCACACACACTCAGCAGCATTTACACTCTCGGCACTTTGACAAACAGAAAAGCTCTCAACTTTCACCCATCCTCCCTTATTCCTTCTTCCTCCACCAAAAATTCATGGCTTCCACTGGTTTCCAGCTTCCCCTGCTCCCAGAATCAGTACTTCAGCTAACCGCCTAGTGAGCACCCTCTCCAATTAAGTTCCCTGTTCGACTTCTTCGACTGGTTCGCTTGAATTTTTCTGCGAGAGGGGCTGTTGTTTAGCTCGGGAGGGCTATGGATGAGGGAGTTTCTCTGAGCAGGCATACTTTCGCCATTGTCCTTCTTCTTCTGCTGCTTCTGAGTGAGTTCCCAGCTTTAATTTATTGAGTTGTAATGTGGGTTCTTGCTAGTTTAGCCCGATCTATGAGTTTTGATAGACTGCCGTTGCAGCTGTGGTTAGATGGGTATGCGCAGCTTAATGTTTGGCTTGATGGGTCTCTGGTGGAATTTTACTGCAAATTTAGAAGCTTACCTCTATCCTCATAAAGATTGTACCTTGCATTGTCTAATTTGCTTTCCTTACACTTGTTGTTAATTTAGCTGCTTAGAGTTGAGAATTTGCTTTTGCCAGAAGGGTTTAAGTAGGTTTGGGGTTTTGACTTCTGTAATGAAATCAACTTGTCAAAAACCTGATAATTTCGGAGCCGTTTTGGCGATGTGTGGCAATAATAGAAGTTAAAGTTGAATACTTTGATCACTGATGTTTAGTTGTTGACCAATAGAGCAGGTATTTGGAAGTTAAATACTCGGACTCATCACCCCAGAGAGAAGTAGTAATTCTAGTTCATTCTTTGTTCAGCACTTAGGTTGGAATCTTTTAATCAAAGGCATGGATAGTGTTCTGCTTTTGGGGAGAACGAGCCCGTTTATAGAACCTTGTTTTTACTAATTAATTGTCTGTTGATTTCATTATTCGATGGCCAAATAGTAAGTAGGCTTGAATTTGTCCTGACATGAGAGTTTGTGATCATGGCTAGTGTAGGTTTTGAAGGATGCAATTCCATGGAACCTTTGCTCCCAGAGTTATCTCCTAATGCAGCTCCTCAGCCATTTCTTCCTCTCCTGGCACCTTCCCCTCTGACTCCTTTCACAAAAAACACAATTCCACGACTATCAGGTTTGGATTCGATCTTACTCAGTAAACCATCCCTTATTGCCTTCCAAATTCGGACGGACACCATTCTTTCTGACTTGCTGCTTTCTGGTTCTTGCTTACTTACTTACCAGGAGAGTGTGCATTGAACTTTACTGCCGCTGAGAGCATGATGAGCACAACATCGATTGATTGTTGGGCATTCTTTGCGCCACTTCTGGCCAATGTCATGTGTTGTCCTCAGTTGGAAGCTACACTCACTATTCTCATAGGCCAAGCTAGTAAAGCCAGCAATGTGCTGGCTCTAAGTGGCAGTGCATCGAAGTACTGCCTTTCCGATATTGAGCAGATCTTGATTGGTCAGGGTGCTGCTGAGAATCTGAGGAGGATATGCTCCATTCATCCGTCGAATCTCACCAAAGGGTCATGTCCTGTTAGAGAAGTGGATGACTTTGAGAAATCTGTGGAATCTGAAAAGCTCCTTGCTGCTTGCCAAAATATCGATCCCGTGAAGGAATGTTGTGAGCAAGTTTGTCAAAATGCCATTTCTGAAGCTGCTGAAAAGATCGCGGCAAAGGCTTCTCAAGTTTTGACTCTCAATGGTCCCGGTACTGTACCTAGGAACTCATCAACTGTAGTTCATGATTGCAAGAGGATCGTCTTAAGATGGCTTGCTAGTAAACTGGATCCTTCAAGAGCAAAGGAGGTTCTCAGGGGGCTTACCAATTGCAAAGTGAACAAAGGTAATGTGGGAGATGAGGTTTTGTTTTGTTTTACAATGGGCCAATTACATAAATGTTCCTCAGGCTTTGGAGTCACTACCAAATTAGTCGTTAACTTACCACTCAAGGTTGCTAAGAATCAAAGTTCATGACTGATATGTTAGTACCCCATAGTTCAGATAGGCCCATTTTACAACTTTCAACTGTATAAACATTCATTACCCTTCTGCTTTCTTTGCTGCAGTTTGCCCGCTGATTTTCCCTGACATGAAACATGTCACCAAGGAATGTAGCAACACGATGCGAAACCAGACAGAATGTTGTCAAGCCATGGAGAGCTATGTGTCTCACTTACAGAAGCAGAGCCTCATTACAAATCTTCAAGCTTTAGATTGCTCTACAACGCTTGCTATGAAGCTGCGAAATTCAAACATCACAAGTGATATTTATAGCCTTTGTCACATAACTCTCAAAGATTTCTCACTCCAAGGTCTGATTTTACTCTGACCAAAGTAGAAGTGTTCTAAGCTCCATGAGTTTCTGATAGCGCATTGCTAACACAAGGTTTTTTTTTTGGGGTAATTTTCACCATGTGATTGTTTTGTGGATCGACCAACCATTCTTCATGGATCAGTTGCAAGAGAAGGTAATTTTGACTCTCTTGTTTGTAATTACTTTGATGACAGCAGTTTCTTCCTCATGAATTGACTCATTGAACTTGTTATTTGACTTTTGGGGGCAGAATCTGGATGCCTTCTGCCAAGTTTGCCCTCTGATGCAACATTTGACCAGTCTTCTGGGATCAGCTTCATCTGTGATCTGAATGACAATATTCCAGCGCCATGGCCCACTTCTTCACAGTTATCAGCATCGTCGTGCAATAAAAGTACGGTTGACTAGTCATTTTTACTTGGATCTATCTTTTGGTTCATACTCAGAAGTCGGCTTTCCACCATCTAAAGCTTCCATGTAGTTCATATCACAGAGTACCTTACATGGTAGTAATCCAACTTTTGATTTCTGCAGCTACCAAACTCCCAGCACTTCCAGCTGCTGCTTCTTCTGCTCAAAGTGGTACGTAAATTGTCAACCAAACCCAAACTTACTTCTTACACGATCTTATTAAGAAGCTTGAAAGCCTTAGATTCCCGACGAGAAAACATGCACTCGAGTTCTTATTAAATACCTGAAGTGGTCACTAACCTATGAGAAAAAGTTGTTTGCTAACTACATACAAAGTGATTTGTGTATAGTTGTCACTCTGTCTCAGTCTCTGCTACTGTATTGTTAGTTTGTCTGAATCACCATGTCAAATAGACGCGTCATGTCACCAAAACCGTCTGATTAGCACCCCCACATTTCAGTGATTATATGTGCATTTTACAGATGAGTGTTCTTTCCATTCTTGAGACAGAACTTGCATGTCTTTTTCGCAGGCCTGTACCACAGGGGAGTGTTCTTTCTCATGTTGTTTCTAACTTCAACAGCCACCGCTGTGCTCTTATGATCTCCGGTCATCCAGCCACGCTGCTTTCGTTTATTGTAGATCAACAAGACGGTTCCATGTTCCCTTGCAAAATATACAGTCACTATACGAAAGATGTAGACTTTGAAGAAGAGGCGATCAACAATGAAGAAGTAGTCCCTGCAACCAGAGAGACTACTTATTCCAAGTGGCATTGCGGTGTCCTCTCCCTCGGTTTCGTCCTACCAATTGAGCCTTCAATCCTCAACAGCATGCTCCCTCTGATCCCCCATTGATTCATCAATTCTTGTTTGCTGGTGTAACAAATTTTTGTAAGAGAATGTTAATATATATAGATAGATAGCTATTGTATGTGTAGCCCAAGCTTCATACTTAGCTACTTGTTAGCTTGGGAAGTAGTGAATGTTGAACAATGTATGAGCTTTAGTTTGGATATCAGCAATGTGATTTCCATATGTGGCGGTGGAGGTTCTGTAGTGTTAGCATGATGTTTATGAATGACGGTGGCTCGACTCGTCAAATAAAATAAGTTTGGGACTTGAGAGAGTGTTAGAGATTTATCATATTTCAATTTACAGCTTGCATAGATATTTCATATTTCACATGACAAAAAGCAAATTTTCAAGACAAATAATCTAACATTTTGGCAACTTTACCTAGTAACAGAAGGATCCCATTCTCTACTTCTCGGTAGAGTTTGAGTTATTGTGATTACTTAGTTTTTCAGTTTTTGCATCAGAGATCTCGGACCGAGTTATTTCATTTCGAAACTCCCACAACCTCCAACACTAACCATTAACATATGTAATGCATACAAGGTATAGCAGGGTTCGCGTACGTGTAAAATGAATGTTATAACATCCATACTGAATCTCACTCTCAACCACTCGAATCATTGTGATGAATTCTCGATTAATTGATATACGAGTCGTGTTTGATTTCTTCTCTCTTTATTATTGTTTCCTTATGTGATTCAATTATAATATTGGGACCGTGCTTTTCTTTGCTAGCTTTTTGCCAGCCATTACTTTTCATGCAAGAAAACAGAGAAGGCAAAAAAAGCAGATGAAGATTGATTCACAAGAAAACGATTTTGCTCTCGAGCAGTCCCCTTCTACTTTGTGAGTGGACCTGAGAAACGCGGCCCAACTCATTATGCCCAAAAGTAAAAAATCACGGAATGGGCCCACTGGCCCATCCATTTTAGAATGTCTCAACCCCCAAATCTCTGTCTTGGACCGACATGAGGAAAGGATTAGGGGATAGGGCTAGGGACACAGCATTCATTTTATTGGGCTGGATGGGCCCACCCACCCACATGGAATATACACATGCTGGCATCCACCACCTCCTCCCAGTTGAGTTGGATTAATACAAACCTGATTTTGATGGAATCAAATATATAGTTAGCATGAAATTAGGCCAGTAATATGGAATCAAAGACGAAATTGTATTGAATTCATTGAATAATTCGGTTAAGGCTGAACTTTCAAGTTGAAAATATTTTGTGTGGTTATTTTAAATATAAGAAATAGACGGGTTAATCCAATTAGATGTGTCATTTCATTTGGTTCTGATCACCTGCTTGATTCCAGAGACGAGAGGTTGTCGATCAGACCTCACACAAGATAAATCACTTCTACGTACTTCTATTTTACCTAAAAGACATCACAAACGGACCAGACAAAAAAATGACAAACAATATAACTCTACGCTCTGAATATTTCGATGAAATAATCAAAATCTTTTTGAAACGACGGTCACATTCACCATTCTCAAAACATTGGATTCTCTCTTGTCACTTCAATGATTTGATGTACGTGTGTGGAAAAGAAGAAGAAGGAAAAACATCCATGTCGATCGAGTGGAGACCAGACTTTTCTTCGGGAGAACTCTGGTGGGAGACTAGAAGTAGCTAAGCTATGGCGGGCGGCCTTCAGTGCACAAATGAACTCTCTAGTTGGCAAAACTAGGGGTTCTACTTTATTAGCTACCGATATCAATAGTTAAAGCCAACGAAAATGGCTAATGACGTAGTGCAATGTGACATGTGGGAATGAGGGTTCTAACTTCTAACTTGTCAAGATCAGTGGATTTTAATAACTCGATCGGTCGGGAAAAGTTCGTGTATGGATATTGACCATTTTCCTTACAAGCCCCGTCAAACGAAAGCCAACTTATTGACTTGAAGTTTGCATAGGCCCGTCATAACATGTGCTTAAGAGATCATGGTTAGTGTTTGGGGTCGTGAGTACCATGAGCATATGATATAAAAAACAAATCAGCTATATAATACTATTATCAATAACCAGCTGATTTCAATAACTCGAAATCACATGAATCTTAACTAGTTTCTAGTGGAGTGGTAAAGTCAGTTTCCATGTAATCATCGATGTATATAAAAGCTTCATCTAGTAGTTAGAATGACTAATGATGATGTTCATAAACTTTATTATATCTCATGAAACATTTGTCTACATCGAAAATTTCAAGCTAATCCAACAAGGCCTTCGATCGATAAAGTGGCTTTTGAAAAGTACTTAAGAATAATGGTGATATCAACCTTTATAATTGACCAACTAATTTCATTTAAGAAAATCGAGTATGCAAAATTGTCATTCTTGAACCTTCTAATACATAAGTGTCTAGCTACATTTGAAATCTAATGCTAATTATTCGTGATAAAAAAAAAATCATGCTAATTAGACAACTCAAGGCTCTCGATGAAATTGCTTGATTAATGAACCTTAATTGTACTAGTACAACACGATATTGCACATGCATGTCCACGTTGCCTCCGAATGGGAAAGCTCATAATATATTAGTTTCAGCTATGTCAACCAAACTCATGGCCGCGGGTACTAGACCGTATCCGATTCAGTCAACGTAGGGAATTTCCGCTTTAACTGGGTATGGGGCGGGTATGGATAAAATCCGCAAAAAAGTTGATGGGTATGAGGCGGGTATGGTTTTGGACTCACCCGTTCAATACCCAAACCCGTCCCAACAAGGACATTATGTTATATGCATCAAATATAAGGAGTCTATTATAACTTGTCAATGCAATGAAGGGTAATTAAATGAAAACAAAAAGTGTTAAAATATAATTGAAGGCAACCAAACTATAATTTCATCCTCTTATGTATTAGTTTCATAATTTTAGGCAGGTAGTATCCATATTTGTCACCATATTCTTTTATTAATGGTGAGTAGTTGATGGAGTGGGTATTACCCATGGGTATCCGAAAACCGCAGGTATGGGGATGAGTTTGTAAAACCTTCCACCACGTGGGTATGAGTTTGGGTATTTGAAAATGGGGATGGGGTTGGTTTAGACAAACCCGCCTCATTGTCATACCTAGTTTAGATTGCTATCGTCGTAGAGTATGTGATACTCTAGGTACTACTAGTGTGCTATTTCTATTTATATCATATATTAAACAGAGTTTGAGGTATGATAATGTATCGTAATCTCTAATTGACAAACCTCATGTCTCGATTCTCTAAAACTAAACTCGAAAATCAATTTAATAAAACATAAAAATCAACGATTCAGATTTGCCGAAATATAACGAAATGCATTCAATGGTCAAATCACTTGATATACTCTAATAGTACACTAGTTGTTACATATTATACGATATAATATGTGTTGTATGCTTTATATTTTTATGCAATAAACATTCATGCCTCTATCCCTCTTACTAATTATGCACTCAATCGTTAATATTGCACTACTGAACAAGAGTTTAGTATAGTGATAATACCACTAGTACGAAATCTGAAGATGGCAAGTTTAAATCCTTCAAATAGTATCTAGACACAAAAAAATAAAACATATGACCCGTAAAAAAATATATTTTACTATTGTTACTAATTTTGGGAGTAATATGTGAAGGTAGCCTCTAAACCTTGAAGGCTGCTTCTCCTTGTATATATAGTATATATCAGCGGCTAGTTCAGCTATTAGAATATCCACACCGGTCTTATATTTCCAATTACAAAATGACATAACATGGTTTTACAATTGTAAAACTAATTGTATCGTTGTGGCTACTCATTGCATATTTGCAAGCTTGCAACAAATGCAATTGGCATATGCAAGTCAAAATAGTCTAAAAATAGGAATTATTTATTGTCTTTATTTCATTTTCCATTTTTTCATTTTATCATAATTTAAACATTATATTTATTTACATATGCAATTGCAAGTGGATTGCATTAATGTAGGTGTAATAATATTAATTAATATGAGTTCGATTGCAAAAATATTGAGGTGATAATACAAATTTAATATGCAATTGGTTTTGTAATTACATTGATGTGGATACTTGTATAGAAAAAAACAAAATTCAGCCACGTTTCAACAAAACACTGTGAGTTACAAACTTAATCTATTTTTTATTTATAATAAATTGTTACAAGGTGCTACTAGAAGAGGAAGGGGAAATGCCGTCATTATGAATGAAACACACAACCATACAATGAAAAGTGTACCAACTCACCAGTTAGGCTGGGCATGCACAAACTTAATCTTTAATGACTAGCTACTCATTTGTATAGTTTTATTTCTTTGGTGATTAACTTGCAACTTGTCTGTGATAAGTTCACGGTTTTGTGGCTGGACGTTGGTTGTTGATCATACCCCTAATTGCATTGGGTATGAGTGTAGGTGCTGCAGGATTAAATCGCTCATGACGAAGAGTAATAACAAAACTTGAGATCATATAGTAAGGTCGATCACACCGATCGACACGAATAACGTAAATCAAAATGTTACTTATTTTTTTCGTTAGATTATTTTCTCATTGTTTTACAGAACTGGTATGATTAAATGATCGTGGGTTGAAACCTTCACGACCCCATATGAATAGCTGATCTAAGCACAAGATAAATTAAGCATGTACAAATTTCTTCAATCAAAATTTTGACCACTTCCCACGGGATATAGAACAATTTATAAATTTGGCTCCTGGCCAACAGACAAACCACAATTTGGCTTGTGGTTAAAACTTAAAAGTGAGCTTCTACGGAGATCTCCCCACCACCCACTTATCTTGTTTGGCTTTTATTTGGAAGCAGGACTAGGGGACTACACCAAAAGCAGAGTGTAAAACTAAACCAGATCGGGGTAGAAAAAACAAGGTTCCATTGGTACTCATCAAGAGTACGATAATCCAATAATTTGAGTGGTAAGGAAGAATTCATGTATAAATTTTATGAACACGTGACATCAAAATGAAATTAGTTTTAATATTATATCATACGAACTGATTTTAATAATTCGAGTTATTGAGAAATAATCATGCATGATAATCACTTCCTTATACGTAAGTGTGTATATTGTTTGAAGTTTCAATGAATTCTCATTTTGAGATCTATTAAATGTCGAACCCACGATTTTATTTACATAAAAAATGTTATCTGAAACCTATAATGGCATGCTAAAAGAGCATGTGTACTTTATTATTGGAGGGTAGAAGCCATCCATGTTGAAGGATTTGGGAAATAATTAAGGGGGACAGAAAATTAAACTCAATTATGGGGGATGGTATCATTATGGGGGAAAAGGAAGAAGTACATGCATGTGAATTCTGCAATGAACTTTTTGTGGGGTAAATCTCTTAATTATGGGGTTTTGACAAAAAAAAAATCATGAACTCAAAATTATAACACAATTAAATAACTAAACTATTTTTTTATAATGATAAGTACCATGCTGCTAGATTGATCCTGATTGAGTTGACTTTCTACATTCTATCAACACCGTATATGTCTACATGCTTGACTCGATCGAGCGGGTTAAAAGGCAAAGATATCACAACTATTTAAAGGTGGCAAATGGATTGGATTAAGAGATTGGTGGATTCATGGATTGGTGAATTGAATCATGAATTCAAGTGACATCTAAACATTGAACCAATACTAGAAATTTGAAAACTTTAGATACTAAAATGTCATAATAAATTATTTTAGGTACCAAAATGTAATGTTCAATAATATTTTCCATCTGAGAAATAAATTTAGGTATAAAATTGTGTTAGTAAAAATAGAGATATTAACTATAAGTTACCAAACATCCATGAAAATAATCCGTGAATCCCTCAACCCAATTGAATTTGGATTAATTTAGGGATCGGTTAGCTTGACTACCCCCTAAAGGGGTAGTGATTTTTGACACCCCTCTTAGATACCATCTATCTAATCCAATGGTAAGTATTAATCACCTGTTTTTTATACATTAATTACATAATTAATTTCTCTCACCACATTGGAAAAGAGAAAGAATCTGGGGGAAAACGAGCCCCAAAAAACCCTTTTCTTCTCCCCTTTTTTCTCTCCGTTTCGTTTCCTCCTCTCTCCCTCGATTCCCTCTTCCCCTACTCGCCGTCGTCGCTTCTTCACCGTCACAGTCCACATCTCCCTCCGGCTCTGTCCCGCATCCTCCATCGTGGCTATGTCTTAGATCGTGACTATCGCTGTTCTCCGAGCAACGCCAAGCTTGCCGTAACTCTCCATCTCCTTCCACAAGTTTGGCACTGTGAAAGGATCGACGGAGAAGACAATGATCATCCTCACCTTCCCGGCAAAGATGACGACCCGTCTCCCCTTCCTACACTAGCCATCCTTCCCTTACCGGCGACGACGACGACGAAGAATCTGAGGTAACTCTCTCCGTCCCACTATCTCTCTCTCCCATACCCAGATCTGGGTTTTTGGTGTAGAACTGGTATTGATACCAGTGAACTGGTAGTTTATGATTATACTCATATGTGAGTACTGGTATTGGTACCAGTGTACTGGAAGTTTATCATTATCCTGGATTTTTCTAGATTTGTGATTTTTTAATTATTCCTTATCAGTCTAGTTTTTCTCTCTCATACCCACGAAGATGTTTTTTTTCTTGTGGTAATGTTACCACTACAATGATAATTGTAGTGTTTGAGTTTTTGTTGATGTTATTCCAGTGGTATGTCTATCACTGGAATGGTATAAATTGTTGATTCTGGTACGGAAGTATACCACTCCAGTGATAATTGATTCTTGGATAATGTAGTGTTGTTTATTTGACTGCAGTCTATCAACACATTGATATAGTTAACCATGTGAATGTTTTTGTGGCATATTGTGTCTATCACTTTAGTGGTAGATCTATCACTGCAGTTGTTGATCTATCGCTGTAGTGGTAGATCTATCGCTGCAGTGGTAGTTCATTGTGATGTTTTTGTGGTAGTGCTATCACTGTAGTGGTACAAACAAAATCATTATGGTTGTTTAAAGTACAACTACCGTAGTAGTAGTTATGTTTAGAATGGCTTTCTAGGATAGAGCCAATAGATTGATATATCTGCAGTGAAAGTCTTATTGTTGATCTCATCTATCAGTAGTTATATTTATTGGTTTGACTTTTGATTTTACCTTCTTTGATTTCAGTCAGAGCAGTGAGTTCCTCGAGAAGTTGTGGAGCGGCGTCGGATGCACGCTAGGAAAGACAAATCACACGGAGCAGGGAGTAGAGCACGTTCCGGACTACAAGCGAGAGCGATTAGGGAGCTTGCAAAATGGAGCAATGACAATGAAGATATTTATGGTCCAGCAACTCTTAATGTCGAGTTTCAACGAAAGTTAAAGAGGCTTGAGGTGGAAAAATATATTGTATTCATTTGGTTAATCAAACTGATGAAGAATTTAATGGATGCATATTTTGGGAACTTTAATGGTATTTGGTGCTCTATTTTCACATTAGTAGTATCCTTCCCCCAATTCTTATAGTTTAGTGGCGTGTAGTGTATTTCTCCCATACAAAATCCAAATGAAGTGGTACATTATAAGTGGCAAATACGAGTTAGAGTGAGAACAATACCAGTGCAATGATATTTTTCATAACAATGATAAACAATAACGGAGCAACAATGTAGTACCACTTCAATGATACAAATACCACTCCACTGGTACACGTACCACTCCACTGGTACGTGTACCACTCCACTGGTACACGTACCACTCCACCGGTACACGTACCATTCCACCGGTACACGTACCACTCCACTGGTGCGAGCAATCCACAAAGTAGGTCAGAGGCGATCCCAGGATGGCGGCAGCTGGAGATAGGAGGATGGTGGTGGGGGAAGGCGCTGGAGGAGTACGACGGTTGGAGGGATGGAGGCGGCACAGGTGGAAGGCGTGGATGAAGATGGCGGAGAGGGGTGATGGCGGTGGCGGCTGCGGGAGGAAGAGGAAGATGAAAATGGGGGAGGGTTTTGGTCGTTTCAGAGTAGAGGAGGGTTTTGGTTAAAATGAAATCAAAATGGAAAGGGGCCCAAATGGAGAGAGAAGGAGACGAAAAGAAGAAAAAAAAGGCAATTAATTGCACATTTGGGGGGAGCTTTTTTCTGATTCCCCATATTCTTTCCCTTTCCAATGTGGGTGAGAGACCCCAAATTACAAGATTAAAAAAAAAATAAAAAAACCAGTTTAATTAATACTTGCCAATGATTGGAAATAAAATTGGCCAATCATAAAGGGGGTGTCGAAAATCACTACCCCTTTAGGGGTTAGCATAGTATCCGACCCCATTAATTTAATATCTTAATGATTGGATTGGATTGATGAATTTGATTAGGGGTGGGCAACAGGACGGGACGGGATACCCGTCCCGTTTTAAACGGGTACCCAGTCCCATTTAGAGACCAAAGTCCATCCCATATCCCAAACCCATATGGGAAACGGGTACCCATTACCCGTACGGGACGGATAACGGGTACCCATACTACCCATAAATACCCAAAGTTTAAATGATATTTTACCTAAAGACAATTAGTCAATTACATCCAAAGCATTCATTTCAAAACACAAAATGGCTGCACAAGTAGCAACTTACACCAATTCCTACAACCCAAAGACACAAGACAGAGACAGACCTTTCCAAATTCCAGAGAAGCTACGCCTGCCGTCGCGTGTCTCGCGTCTTCTAGGGCCTAGGGGTGCGTCAGCGTCTCAACTCTCACGTGCTGAATTAAATGGATTTTGTAATTTTAATGGATTTTGAATTGGGTTGGGCTTGGGCGCATGGGCTGAATTATATGTCTTTGTAATTTGAATGGGTACAACGGGTACCCATATTACCCAAACGGGTATTCGCGGGTAACCCGCGAGTACCCATATTAGGACTGTACAATCTCAAGTCCCATCCGTTTAAAATATTACGGGTAATATGGGTACCCGTAACCCTTAAAAACGGGACGGGTACGGGTATACCCAAATACCCGTTTCCCGTTGCCCACCCCTAAATTTGATATAAAATTGTCACCTGTAATACGATCACATAAAGAAGGGAATATTATAAAATATTATTCATTAAAAATATGTACAAGATTTTGTTGGGGTTGACGAAATCTAATTAATGCACGTACTAATATTCATGGTAATAATTGAGTTGTGTAGTGTCTTATAAATAGCTCTAAAAGGCTGAAGCACTTTTTCTTTTCGTGTATGAATGAATGGCACTCAACTAGCTAGCTGTTCACATGTCTCTTTAGCCCTTTCGTCTTTTTGGTTTGTGAATCATAATTGACTTAATAATTACTATATGGTGGTATATATTTATCAAGAATTGTGAAATCCACTTTTGAAAGTTGTGCAGAAAAAATTACTGATCTGATATTTTGTGATGAAATTATAATTTAATCGTGTTTTATATTGTGTATTATTGCTACAAACCACCTATGGATAGACTTTGATAGAAAAATTTACCGATATGAAATACCGATACAATTCACAAACATTGGTACTTACAACAAAATGGATAGGGTTTGACGCTCACAAGTAGGGCTGGACAATCGGTTAGCGGTCCACCGACCGATTATAATCGAAATCGGCCAGTTATCCACTAACCAATAACCAAGATAATCGAAACTCGGTCAGTGTTCGGAGGCTGGGTGATATGGTTTTGGTCTTGGGGTTGTTCGGTTAACCGAAAATCTAGCTAACCAAAGGCTTAAGCCCTCTTTCGGTCGGTGGTAGGGTTGGTAGGTGGTTCGGTTGACCGATAACCGACCCGACCGGTCCTCCAGTATCCCTACTCACAAGGTTCTCGAAACAGGAGGAAATCAGAGTGCATAACTTAATTGAACAAAGCCATAAGGTTCAACCTGCAGTTTGCCCTGAGCTAGCTAGCTAGCTGCTAGGTGTTTTTGTTTATGGAACTGAAATCACTTATTTTCGTATATCTTGTTCGACTGTTTCGCTGATCAATTCTCCGTGGTATCGAAACTCGATTTGAACGTGAAATAGATTTCGTGCTCAAATCTTCACTACCCACCTGATGATGAGCCTGTATGAGATCAAACGATCAACAAACAAAAACAAAATGCAGACCACCATGCATAGTTGGAGCCTACCACCTGGGTGGAAATTATATGATGGTTTCTTGCACTGCATCAGATCGACCAAATGGTTTGGTAGGAAAAGTTTGGTGTTGATCAATAACTATGATTGAATGCGGGCAGAAGTGATAAGGAAAAGAAGGAAAAGATGGGAGTAGGGAGGACTAGTGTACGTGGTGGGTCGCTCCTATTTATTTGGGGAATGGTATGTGCCATTAGTCATTACACAAGGTCACCCATTTATGCCAACTACTTCGATTTGTTGAGAGATTTATCTTACTACATTTTGAGATATTACATGTTCTTTTAAACAAAAGTTTATGGGTTTGAAGTCTTGCATAGATCTGTCATATACTATATGTGCTAATTGCTAAATAAACGGTTAATATGAGGGTCATAAGAAGTTAAACACGTGACCTAGTGATGAAACCAGTCCTAGGAGTCCATTCAAATCATAACAACAAAAATATTTTGGGAATAGGGGTGAATGTGAGGTAGTGATAAATGGGTTTTGCAAAAGGCATACTTTGAGTTATTAAAAAAGACCAAAATTGTATTACCATTAAAAGCTCAAAATTTGCGAAAATGAGTTTTGTCTAGCGTTAATACAATCAATTTTGAACCTGGAAGTCTAAAGTTCAGATTCCTATTGTAAAAAAAAGTTCAAATCCTTTAAATATCATCTAACAAAAAAAATTAAACCTTATTAAAAATAAAAGCTCGGGAGTTATTTTTTTTATCACATTTAAGTAAAACATTATACATTAAAAAAAGATTCTTCAAATCTAGTGAGAGTATGATTGATCAGTTGGTCATTTAATTTGGTTCACTTATCCTCAATCGTAAGGTTCTTGTTTTGATTTGATCATTTCGGATTAAACACTTTCATATCTAGATTACGTAAAAAAAAGGAAGGTTGTTGCACAAAATGTATTTTTAAGTAATTGTCCCTAGACGATCTATATGAAGAAGAAATCATATAACAAAAGAGATTCTTATTTGTATTTCGATAAAGAATTACTTAATTTATAAATCTGTCTATAAAAATATTCTAGGTACTCTCCTAGATGAAGGAAAAGGACGTCCATTAATACTCCTTGGCTAACATTTCTCCAAACACAAAGCGAAAAGATAATAGCTCAATTATGTAGCCGATAATTATAATAGCCATAAATTAATGGAAAATGACATTTTTAGCTTAACCCACCCACAACACAGTATGCCACCTACCACCAACAAAGGACACGCACAAAATATAACGAAGCATTTTGTCAAGTACAATATCAGTAATGTATTAAAATAACGGTATTCTTAGAAAAAATAATTATTAAAGAGAAAATTTATGAATGAAATGAATATAATTTTTTGTTTTAGTTATAAATAATTTTACCTTTTGACCGAAAAAGAATACAAAATCAACTTTTTTTTGGCTATTTATGAAACTTCTATTATTTTGTAGACACATATTATTGTGTCTTCTCATTCTTATCATGATCTAGCCTATTTGTTTTAATATACAGATGTGTTATTTTTTAATAATTATATTTTTTAATAATTATATATTTTTTAATAATTATATATTTTTTAATAATTATATATTTGTCTAATCAGCAGCGCCCAGCCACCTCCAATCTTCCGTTTCCAACTTTTTCTTCGTTTCCTCTGGGGATATTGTGGACAGTACTAGTCGATCGTCGTCACACGTCCTTGGATCGAATCTTCATATCGGCTGTCGTCGTCATCTGCCTTGTCGTCCAATGGAGCCAGTGGAGAAGTTGGCGACGGTGTTTAACTTGGCGTCTCAAAACTTGGCTTTGCTTCGTCCTTGACATGAAAATGAAAGTTGTGAAGGTGTAGTAAATCAAGGACAACACATGATGATTAGTGACATTGTTACGGATAAGGTAATGATCATTAATTATTTGGAAGGACAGTGAGAGGACGGACGACTTAGAAAGAGCAGGATTAATATGGGTTTTGGGTGCACTCCATGCATACATTCGTCTCATAATCGTCATTCTGAGCAAACGATTCATGTCAAAGTGATGTCAATTGTCAATGGTGAGACAATGAACTAGAAAGTACATGAACTTACACAAAGCATCATTTAGGGTTTACTTTGATTTGAAGGTTTTAGAGTATAGTGATTCAAGGTTAGGGTTTATAATTTGGGGTTTAGGGTTAGTGTTAGAAATTGAAGGGTAAGGAATTAGGTTTAAAATTCAAAATCCGATGTTTTAAAGCTATAGTCAAATGCACTCATTTTTGTGAGTGCACCGAAAAAAATCAATGTTAGTAAGTCGTATAAGATCTATTATTGAACCTCCCCCAAAAAATCGAGTTATTCGGATCGATCAACTGGTTCTTGATATGATACCAGAGTCTTCTGTGACCTAGAGGTGTCGTGTTCCAATCCTGGCAACCCCCATTTGTTAAACACGTAGAATTATCGGACCTATGCAAACTTTACGCCCCCTGTGAGTGGCGCTTTCGTTTGAGGGGGGGCATGTGAGTAAGTGATATAAAATTCATTATTAAACTTCTACCAAAAACTCGAGTTATTTGAATTAACAGGTTCCTGATAGCCACCACTAATATATATATGAAATTGTCCCTCTCTTCTCGAGAATCCATACATCCCTTATCAGTGTATGGACTGCTATCTCTCGAGCACAGGTTTAGGTTCGGCCTCAATGGGAAAATAAAATGGAGCACCTAACAACGTATCTTCACAGACGAGTAATCACATATATCCATGCCGTGAATCCGTCTAGGTTCAAAGATTTCTTAATGAAATGCGACTCATGACTAGCTAAGCCTAGCCACAAGACGTGACTCGTGAAGCATTGGAAGTGAATCATCCCTATCCCCAACAGAATAAAAAAGGACGTACACCTGCATGGCACATCAAGACAAGAGATTGAACATGACTCAACCTCACGGCAATGATTTTTTTACCTGCACGATTCCCCTCTTCTTCTTTCTTTTCCTACAGTCTCTGATGCTATAGAACTTCGAAATGAAAGGTGGAAAACTCTGAAAGCCCAAAGTCATGGCAGTGCAGGTGGCGTGGACTGCTACAGAAAACAGAGCATCTTTGCAAATGATTCCAGCAAAGAGCAGAGAGGGTCAGCTTTTTTTTCTTCTTCTTTGAAATATCACTCTCCATCGAGTTTCTCCCTCTTCTTCATGATCTCAACCACCTGAGAGGAGTGAGGCCCATTCCCCCCGACTGCTGCAGAATTAGGGGAAAGAAAAAAAGAAAAAAAAAGCACACGTGATAATATACATGGGCTCGATTCGAGACTTCCAACTCGTAGCTGATTAGAGCGAGCGTTTATGTATACACCGTTTTCATTTCGTCATTGTTAGTGATTGTGAGATAACGTGATTCGAGGCTTTCGAACCTGAATGATTGGTCCACTTACTTGTATTCATATAGCTGAACTGAAGTTAAGTTTAGCACATATCGTGATTAATTCACTATTTTCGAGTCCTGAGTTTGACACAATATGATGCTTGTTGTTGAGCTGACAAATAAATTAAATGATTTGTCAACTTATTAACATATTTATAAAGAATTGTCCATCGAGATATCGTCTTTCATGACGAGGAAATAAGACAACAGCTAGCGAGTATTGGAAACCGGGTCTTGACTTTGCCGTCGCCAAAAGAATGGGTTGGGCTAAGAATTCTGGTAAACGTTTAAAAAAAAAAAACTACTTCAGCATTGATTTCAATGATCTCCACATGAACCATGCTTCAACAATCAGCATCTCTACTTTGTCTCGGTGCTGTTATTTTCTTTCTCCTCCAGCTTTTCGATCCATGAGAGATGGGACCGTTTGAAATTTAGGTCATGATTATCAATGACACAATTGAAATCCGTGCATGCCACCAAATTGGTTGGCATTAATTGGATATATAGGCTTTCGAAAGAAATGAAGTTTACCAAATTTACGATGTAAGGTTAGTTACTGAGACTTGACAGGATAATGGAATTATATAGTTGTAAAGATAGAGAGGTTTCATATTCGATTACGCTCACGGCCCTCGCTATTGATTTGAATGTTGTTTCAAATGCAAAATATGATCACAGCACTATATATGTAGAATTCGAACGGATAAATTAACTTTCGGAAGATGTGTTTACTTACTTCTAGATCATATATAAAATCGTGGACTGGTCATGGCTCCTTTTTCATGTTTGGCTAACTAAGATGATAGAAAATTATAGTAATTTTTTTTTATAATGTAACAAAATGTTCTAAAGGACATTGTAACTTAACCTAATCTTTGATCTCCCCATCTAAATTGATTGGTTGCAGAATAATTAATTATGAGTTTATGACAGCCATATATCCATTTTGATGGGTCGTTGTGGCCCATTATAAATTGGTTGAATATCTCATCAATCAAACAAATCTGTTGGATGGAAAGACAAAAAGTGGTTGATACTCATTTATACACTTGCTATGGTTTAATGGTTATGGTCAGTCAGTAAACCCATATTGCCTTATAATCCAAATGTCATGAAATAGGCGATACTTCTATACAGTTATCTAGAAATAACTGATGCATTGAACAATACATAGATAACATTATTATGAATGACTACCAATTTAATGTTCTCGATTTGAAATGAAGGAAGGCCGTTTGTGTCAATCATTTAATTTGGTAAATGAAGGATTGGTGATGAATTCAGGTAATTGTGGATTTGAAAACAATTGTTGTCTGTTCCTTGAATGTGATGATTGATCTTTCTGAATTGGATTACAGATTTAAAAATGAATTTACCGTATCATCTCTGGAATTTGGAATTTGGAATAGAATATAAGGGTACACGAGTCCATTACATGATCATGTGTTAATTTTTGCCCTATTAGGTGAATTTTTCGAATTCACTATGAATTTGAAATGTGAATTTTTTTCTTTCAAATCCATAGATTTCACGAGCTTGACACTCTCGTAATTTAAACAGAAACAATGCATTTCTCAAATTCTTATTGATGAAAATTTGAATGTCAATTCCATTACTCAAATATGATATGCAAAGTACCCGAAGAATCATCCACTCTTATGGGGAAATAGTAAGAAGAAGAAAAGAAGAAAAAGGAGAGAAAAATTACCATTATAGTGCTTTCAAAAAAACGATGAGATAGTTGGAATGAGGAACGTATCAGGTCAGTAACTCTATGGTCAGTAACTATGAGTAATCTGTCCACGTCAGCATGACATCAGTATCGTATCTCTCATATAAAGTCTTTTATCTATTCCCCTTTAATCTTTAACGAACGATTTCTCTCACGTTTTATGTCAAAATTTAATTTTTTTGCACAGATAAATCGGATTAAATGTGCTCTTTAAAATAATATCCACTTTGATATATTTTTAGTACAAAAAATGAATAATTTTTTACCAGTCATTACCATATGATATTATACCATATGGTAAGAAAGCGTACCATGATGGTATGAACATACCAATATGGTAAGAAGGTTGAATACATGATAGTAGGAGTATACTAACTGTCATTTAATCTTTAACGGACGATTTCTCTTACGTTTTAATTCAAAATTTAATTTAATTTTCTTTTACACAGATAAATCAGATTAAATGTGTTTTTTAAAACAAAGATTATCACCGTAACTCATCCCTCTGAACATCAAACAAAGATTAGGTACCTCATAATTTCGTTTTGTGAAAATAATCCTCTTTAACTTTTTTTTTTTTTGTCCACACATTGAAGGCTATGATTCACCATTATCTCAGTGTATACGAGTTTTCACTTTTCAAAAGCCAACCCATTTTCGTGGTTCCCCTCAATCATTAGTCCGTGAACGACAAAAACAACTACGGCAAAAAAACAAACCCACCGTAACTTTCAAATTCCGGTAAAACAACAAAAAAGCTAACCATATACAAATGATACTTCACTTTACACGGCAGCGCGATTGGCCTCTTCGTTGACTACGGTCAAACTTAAGAGAAGCAAAAATTACGTTTGGATTGTAATTTGTACTATAGACTCTAGAAATAACATCTAAAAAAACATAAATTATTGAGCGTCTTAATGCTATTGCTCCTTAAAAAGGAGGAACACTCGGGAACAAAGAAAGGCATAGAACGAAAGCCATGCACGTTTCTTTCTTTCTTCTTTGCATAATAATATTAAAAAGAAATGTGATAAAAATCCCCAAAAAGTTCCAAAAATTCTATTAAATTTACATATTATAGTCATCGTCATCATCCTTCCCACCCGAAAACCAATCGTCCATTCACTATAGTTTACTACTTAAAAGGCGGCACCGCAAAGCCTTGAGATCATCTTAACCCATTTCTCCTCTCCGTCTACTTTTCCCCTCTTCTTTTCCCTCCCTTCTCTCTCCGGCCGCCATGGCTCTGACGTCGTCTCAGCCGTTGCTCCAGAGCTTCCGGGCATCCAACCTCGAGGACGTCAGCTCCGAGCTCGAGGAGATCCTAACCGACACCCAAACGCCGTACCGCCGGCGGCTGACCGCGGCGACCAAAGTCGAGCTCGCGCTGCTCTTCAAGCTCGCCGCGCCGGCCGTCATCGTCTACCTTCTCAACAATGTCGTCTCCATGTCCACACAGATCTTCTGCGGCCACCTCGGGAATCTCGAGCTCGCCGCCGTCTCCCTCGGCAACACCGGCATCCAAGTCTTCGCCTACGGCCTCATGGTAATTAATGGATTCCCAGCTTATTACTCTCTTTCTCCCCACATAAAATCCGGCAACCCTTTTTTGCGACGGGAATACGGTCGCTGAAAGAAAGACAATAGTCGCCAAAACCTTTTAGCGACCATATAATATTCGTCACAAAAGCTCGCAAGCCCCCAAAAAATTTCTGTTGAACCTTTATTCACGAAAAACCCAGCTTGATTCACGACTTTCACTTTGAAAAAGGGTTTGAGCTCGGTCATTAATTCTGGTATTACGAAAAGTGTTATATGACTGTTCATATCGTGATCGTTGTTGATGTGATCTGAATCAGACGATTTTGCTACGATTGGGACTCACGAGAGAGTCTCCTCTGTAATGTTTTATTTTCTTGAAGTATAGTAAAAACTGACTCTCTCCTGCCTTTAAACTACCTAATTCACATCGTATTATTGAATCACATAAATCCATTTGCCATGTTCGTCCTTGCTTTCGCTTTTCTTGTTTTGTCGATTCTCCGATTTCCCAATCCATAGAAATAGTCGTGACATATTTTTCTGCGTATCTGGCTGTTTCTAAAAAAAACCCTTTGCTAACGAGTTGTTTTGTGCCACGTGTCGCGGGCAGCTCGGGATGGGCAGCGCGGTAGAAACGCTCTGCGGGCAAGCCTACGGAGCCAGCAGATACGAGATGCTCGGAATCTACCTCCAACGATCAACAATCCTCCTCGTCGCCACCGGAATCCCCTTGACCGTGATCTACATCTTCTGCAAGCCGATCCTCATCCTCCTCGGCGAGCCGGCCAACATCGCCGCCGCGGCGGCCATCTTCGTGTACGGCCTGATCCCGCAGATCTTCGCCTACGCGGCCAACTTCCCCATCCAGAAGTTCCTCCAGTCGCAGAGCATCATCGCACCCAGCGCGTACATCTCACTCGTCGCGCTGGTGGTCCACCTGGCGCTGACGTGGATGGCCGTGTTCAAGTGGCAGTGGGGCCTGCTGGGTGCCGGCTTGATTCTGAGCTTCTCGTGGTGGCTGATTGTGGTCCTGCAGTTTGTGTATATAGTGACGAGCAAGCGGTGCCGGAAGACGTGGCAGGGTTTCAGCGTCCAGGCGTTTTCCGGGCTGGGGGCGTTTTTCAAGCTCTCTGCTGCGTCGGCGGTGATGCTGTGCTTGGAGACTTGGTACTTCCAGATCTTGGTGCTCGTCGCCGGGTTGCTGCCCGACCCGGAGATCGCCCTCGATTCGCTCTCCGTCTGGTAAGTTTCGTCCGCGATTGACTACCAACTGGTTACGAGAACTCGAATCCCAACATTTAGTTTTGATTTTTTCACTTAAATATAAAAAAAATAATGCGGAGATCGTGTTGTGCGATTCGTGGTGATTTTTTTTCCTAATGTTTCATCCATTGAGAAAAGTTTCAAACTTTTTTAATTACGATATACATGAAGTTGGGGATTCAAATCATGACCTCGATATATGATTAGTGACATTTTGTTACCAATTTACTTTTGATATTTTACTAGTCACGAAGAGTTGAATATGAAAACTTAAATCTACAGATGAACTAGTAATTGGGGGTGTAGCAAAATTATTGATTGTCGAACATATAAAGACTTACATTGGCGTCTCTCGAGTTTGTCCTTCTTTTATCTTACAATAAACTCATTCGTTGTTTCATCGTGTAACTGTATTTTTAGTTTTTTAAAGTTTTTTCGAAATGTATTAGACAACACTCTTAATGTTGGATCCATAATATTTTGCAGCATGACGATCTCTGGATGGGTTTTCATGATCTCCGTCGGCTTCAACGCTGCTGCCAGGTCAGTCATCAACTCCCACGGCCAGCCAACAAACTCTATCTCTTCATCTTTGACTTCTGCTGACACAGCGATCCACAAATTTGTTATTTGTCCCATTCTGGCCACGTCGTCGAATAAAAAAAAAAAAAAAGCGAACGAATATTTTTTTGACATTTTCACCATTCTACCCTTTCTTTCAGCGTCCGGGTGAGCAACGAGCTCGGGGCCGGGCACCCGAAGGCGGCGGCGTTCTCGGTGGTGATCGTGACGTGGTCGTCGTTCGTGATCGCGGTGGTGGCGGCCGTCGTGGTGATGATTTTCCGCGACGTGCTGAGCTACGCGTTCACGGAGGGCGAGGTGGTGGCGGCGGCGGTGTCGGAGCTCAGCCCGTTCTTGGCGGTGACTCTCATCTTGAACGGCATCCAGCCGGTTCTCTCCGGTACCGTCTTTAATCAACATTCATCTCTTCTTCTAACCCTAAATTAGATCTCTCTACAACATTGAAGATTAAATGTGAATGGTAATTAATACAAAGAGGAATGGGTTGGAATTTTTTTGTTTTTTTTAAGGGGTTGCTGTGGGATGTGGATGGCAAGCGTTTGTGGCGTATGTGAACGTGGGTTGTTACTACATCATTGGTGTTCCCGCTGGGGTTCTACTTGGCATCACATTCAATCTTGGATCTAAGGTGAGAACAATCCGTAACTATTTCATAACATTCGATTTCAGTTACGACCAAAAAAAAAAAAAACTCATCCAATCGAAAATGCTAGTCAAATTCTATCTTATCGCTATATAAAACATTTGAGAAAACATTAGAAAGTGGTACAAGATGAGAGCGAATAACCCCATTACTCCTCCGACATTTATGTGAAGCTGGTGCGCGGTTGTCATTAGAGCCCCTCCTCATTATAAGTTCTAGCTTTGCCACCGATCATTCTGATACATCTGCTTAGAATCCGGCGTGACTCTGTTTTGCTTGTCTCCCACATTCCTAACTTTTTATGAATTTTGACCGATTGATATGTGTAGAGGTGAGTAACGTTTGTGTGGTCCATATATTTTACGTTTTGGTGGATGGTAGGGCATATGGACAGGGATGATCGCTGGCACCTTCTTGCAAACATTGATTCTACTTTGGACCACCTACAGGACCGACTGGAAAAGAGAGGTACGTCTCCTGGATATAGCTCGTTTCGCTTTCTCTATACACCTATCAATCTGTCTGCCATTGTCACTATTTATATCGGTACACAAATGATCGGAAACGCAAAAACATTATTCGTCACAACTAGAGAGAGATTTTGCGACGAGAAAACAAAAGTATCACCCGACCTTTTCTGTTTGGTGACAAAAAAAGGTCCTTATTTGTGGTGCTTAAATCGCGGGGAGCAAAAAGGCGGTCCATAAATCGCGGGGACCAGAACCGAATTTCTGGAACAGACCGACCGACCGAACGACCATTGTTCTTGTGGTGGTAGGGTTTGCAGGTTCTTTTTTGGGTTTTTACTTTTTACCCATAAGCCCATTCTAGAATATCTACGTGGGCCAGTAGTGTTTAAGTAGATGGGCCTTTTGCTATTTATTTATTATTAAAGCTACTTTGATGTGCGGTTCCATGATGGGCCGGCCATATTCAGCTCTGGTCCAAAACTCTTTACTTCACTATACGTAACATCAAATCAATTGGTCGATTTAATGGGGAAAAAAAAACATAAAATCCATGGTTCCAAATTTTCAATAGCTAGAGTTGTTTGGAAGAGGTTACTGCTTGAATTTTAATTGCTTCTTTACATTGTTCTCTTCAACTAAACTAAACTCATGAGTTTGAAGTTTGAATATACCTAACATATCATGTGTTTTAAAATAACACTTTAATATAAAAGTTGTCAGGATTTGAATAAACGAGATCAGGTACAAACCATCTATGATACCATGTTATAAACAACTTGATCTCAATAACTCAAATGATTTGGGAAGGCTCGTGGGTGAATTTTAACTACTTTTTTTTACACAATTTGGTCATTCTTTTCCATTGTCATAAAAGATCGAAACGGTTAACTGCACTTTGTTTTTATTTGAGTTTTTTCCCTATAATTGTATAGTTTGTAACTTTGTATACATATAGTTGAGCTTCAACTTGAAATTGTGTTCTTGGTTTCAGGTGGACAGGGCCAAAGATCGGCTAACAACGTGGGAGGATAAGAAGGAAGCTGTTGCCGAGAACGAAGAAAGATTGTTGTCTTCTTAGGTATATAGAAAATTAAGCATATGCATCCAATTCGTGGATTCATGCATGTTCTTCCCTTTAGCGAATGAGGAGTGATCTTTCTTTCTTTCTTTTCCCCTTTGTTTGTTTGCCTTCTTGTTGTTAATTACAAGGACAATTGTTATTATAATCTAAAGAAGAATGAGGCTTACTGATGACCTAAAAGCAAAGTTTAAGGTGTAGGTGCTTTTTACAAGGATTGAAAATCCTCTTCGTGTGTTTTGGTAAGTTGTTTAATGTAATATTGCTCTACTTGATTTGAGAGCCACGATGAATTTTGATGAAAGCGTTCATATTCACGAAAGCGGAGCTACAATCTTTTCCTCCGTGTGCTTGCTTTCTACTCCTTTCGAAGAAGAAAAACTCATCTAAAGACTTGTGTTGTATGTGTTATCCTAACATATTTATCATTCTGAGTATGGTGTTGGATCCTAGACATTGACAATTATTTGTATGCACCTATATCGTGTACTCTGTCTATTTTATTTGATGAGAAACTCTATCTTAGACTCTCAGCTTATTGTTATATATGTTATTTCGATGCACTTCTCTATTTAAAAACATTGATCGAATTTGAAATCGGACGATCATCATCTTCATTACGCCATTGTCACTGTCTTCTCAGTGAGCTCCCGTCCCTCCTTCCAACAATTTTTTATATATATGTATATTATGTGATTTTAGTGGATGTCAAGATTTCAACATTATTATGAGAAATGTTAATAAAATAAAATAGAACACGTGTAGCTAATTGTTTTAAAGTGATAGGACGTTATGGAACATAATCTAATCATTCATTACAAAATCTCTCCACATGATAAGCAAAGGGTTCTAATGGGAGAGCTAGAAAGTAGAAACTATGCTTACTAACTAAAAAATTCATCTGTCTATAACTCAGTTTCATAGATAATAACTGAAAAAGTAGTCTTATACAGTTATACGTAGCCAATTGTCAAGGGATGGAAAATAGTCCGGTCTCAGTTTAACCGCATTGTTTTACTTGGTATATCGGATTGCATTTTGGCAATTAGGATTCATATCAATGAATTTAATCATATTCATCAACTAAATTATCTACCTAATCCAACTCATTTAAATTCAATCAATTTGATCCAAATTCAATTGTTGTTGAGAGAAAATTAAATCTGAATCTTATAATACTCTCTCTCTCTTGCACCCCTCCTCCCTCAAATGAAAGACAACTCATAAGTTCGAAGATTTTACAGCCAACTTACTCTGTGCTTAAATCAACTGTTAATATTGGGAGTGGTACGTAGGAATTCGAGCACACGATCACTTTACTACACCAGTTCTAATACCATGTCGTAACTCGTTAGTTTCAATAATTTGAAATTGTTGAAAAAGTTTAGTTATAAATCTTATACCACTCTGTTGCTTCGAATTCATAGAGGTTAATATTAATTATGCATTTTGCAACACTCTCTTTTATAACGATAGTTGTTTGAATTATAATGAAACCCCGAGTTACACATGTCCTACCACTAAATAATCTGGTCTAGAGGTGGCAAATGGATTGATCCATAATTGGTGGATCCATGGATCAAATGGATTAGTGGATTCATGGATTGGATCAAGTGGATTTGTGGGTTATCCATGAATCCAAATGACATCATCAACCAAAGATCAATATGTAAAATGTGAAAAGTTTAGGTACTAAAATGTCATAATAAAAATTTTTAGGTATCAAAACGTAGATTTTCAATGATATTTTTCGTATAAAAATTCAATATTGGGTACCAAAATATAAAATATAAAAAGTATATGTACCAAATTGTAATTTGCCATATGGATCCATGGATCAATCCATGAATCCACCAATTCAATTGGATTTGGATCAAGTGGATTAGATTTAAATAGATTAGATTATGTTGATATTTTTAATGAGTTGGTCGATTGGATTGAGAATTGCCACCTCTAATCTGATTTGATCACGTACTCCATATTCCAGATTACTTTATCGTTCGTCGTCATCTCTAACTTACTCTAATCACGCACATTTACTCTCATCACGTTCATCAAAATTCGTATATATTATTGCTCCTCTAGCTAGCTTTATTAAGGAACTTGATTCCCTTCTTTACTTTTAAAACGTGAATTTGAGTTCGGATTGTTAAACGTTTTAGAGATCGATATTCACTTCACTCGATCCACTTCAGGCCACGATTGTCGATATACTCCTTCGGTGTGGGATTTACTTGGTGGGCATTAGCCGTGTTGATGAGAGCATTCGGCGAGGACATGACACAACTATAGATATTCTCTCTTTTCTATTCTAACGCCTACAAATCAAAATATACTGATCTTGCTTTAAAGACACTTCCAAGAACTAATCTCAGGTGTTGTCAACCATGATTATAATGTTAGGTTTAAATTATAATTTAATTTTGTTTTCTTGGTACATTTTGGTAAAATAGTAGCATACATCATAGTAGGACTATAGTAATCAGCATCCATCACCTTTCAACACTGTACTTTTGGTCATAAATTTTTTCTCCATATATTCGTAAATCTAATAGGTTACAATGAACTCATTTCTTCTAAGCAAATTGTTTCAATATTTGATTTGAAAACGAAGGTGGTACCGGAGTGGTAACGAATGGTACAAATTTTTTTCTCGAAATAATGAAAATCGATATCATTTTGTAGAACACAACAAACCCTTCCATCTCTGTCAAAAAAATTAAAATCAGAGTTAGAACAAAGAAGACAAAAAACCAATTAAGAAAAGTAAAAAATAAAATAAAATAAAATAATCATTAATTATCATCATCACTTATATCTTATTAAGCATTTTTGTATACATCTATATGTCAACCCAACTTATGTTGCCTATATATATCTTTTTCACATCATCCTTTGAATTCTCACATCACTAGCTACCATCCCAACTTCGTAGCTATATCATATCTCTACATAACGTCATTTTTCTCTAACATGGCTATCGCGGGCGACAACGGCATGTCGTCGGTGGCCGCATGCAAATCCTCATCACTTGAAGACGTGTTATCGAACTCCGAGCTCTCGCCGGCGCGTCGCCTCCGAAGGGCTACCGCAATCGAGCTGAAAGCTCTCTTCCGCCTGGCCGGGCCGGCCATCGTCGCTTACCTGCTTAACAATGTCGTCTCGACGTCCACCCAAATCTTCTGCGGCCATCTCGGCAACCTTCAGCTCGCCGCCGCCTCCCTCGCCAACGGCGGCATCCAACTTTTCGCATATGGCGTCCTGGTACGTATGAACAGTTGAATACATAGATACGTTCATGCATGTATATCCTATTTTCATTACCCTATTTAAATCCTACTTTCCAAATACAACGTCCTGGTACGTATGAACAGTTGAATACATAGATACGTTCATGCATGTATATCCTATTTTCATTACCCTATTTAAATCCTACTTTCCAAATACAATATACTGTCATAACTCAGAATTTTTTTTAAAGAGTTTCGTGTATGATATTTAACCAGTTTGTTATATGTCTTTTCAAATGAAAGTGAACTCATGAACTTGAAATTTGAAAATGCTCGTCATGTCATGTGCTTTAAGGACAATGATTAATATTTGAGATCCCTAGAATTTGAACTATTAAAGTATGGGTAGTACTCAATAACATAACATTACTCGTACTATTCATACTCTAATATGAACGCGTAATAGGGGTGGCTATACGGTCCGGTTAAATTGGCCCAAATTGATCCGGTCCAGTCCGGTCTTTTTGAAAATATAAGGACCGAAGATTGGATTGGATACAGTCCGGTCTTGATCCGGTCCGGTTTTGATCCAGTCCGGTCCCAATTCGCTCTTGATTTTACATTGAGATTGTGGGATTTGAGTGGCCTAAGGCCTTAAAGGGTGAGGAGTTGGTTAAGTTTTGTACTAAGTGCAAAGATTTGTGACCGTTTATGCAAATTACCCTTAAGTTTTGGGTGTTGAGCTCTCTTAGCCGGTCTTTATCCGGTTTTTACCTCAAATCTAAGCCCGAAAATTGGATTGGATTGTTTACTATCCGGTCCCGGTCCAGTCTTGGTCTGGGTTATACGGTCTCGGTCCCGGTCCAAATAGCCACCCCTAAAGCGTAACCTCAAAATAAACTAGCTCTAATACCATATAATAAGCCAACTAGCTCCTAGTAAAGTTATTAGGAGAGGTTTATATATCTTACTTACACCTGTTCCTTACACCTGTCAAATAATCAAGCAGAAAGTAAAGAACACCGAGTTTTTTAACGCGGTATCGCCAGTATGACACTAGTCCACGATGAGGATCTCCCTCACAGGTTTTAGGTTTTCAAATTGTTTAATTCCCAAACTACAAGCAATACAAAGATACATATAGTATCCGACTTTACCCTAGCTAATTCGGCTAAGGGTAAATTACCACACAACCCATATCATTAACACCCTACCTCAAATTTATGTTGGATGCGCAATATCATTTTACTAAAAAGATACCAATATCTACTCGATGCTAAAGCTTTAGTAAGAATATCTACAATCTTATCCTCGGTTGACAACTGGCTAATCTGAATAACTCTTTAAAAGACAAACTGCCTTATGTCGTGAACATAAGATAAACCTCTATATGTTTTGTCCTATCATACAAAACGGGAGTGATTGCTATCTGTATTGGGCTTGTGTTATTACCAAGGATAAGGGTAAATTACCAAATTGGCCATGTCATTAACAACACCTGGTGCTACATTTCTTCTTTACAGCTGGGAATGGCGAGCGCGGTGGAGACACTCTGCGGCCAAGCCTACGGCGCCGAGAAGCCCGAACTGCTCGGCCTATACGCCCAACGATCCGCCGTCCTCCTGGCGGCCACCGGCGTCCCGCTCACCGTCCTCTACCTCTTCTCCAAGCCCATCCTCACCCTGCTCGGCGAGTCGCCGGATATCGCCTCCGCCGCCGCCCTCTTCGTCTACGGCCTCATCCCGCAGATCTTCGCCTACGCCGCCAACT